TCTCTCTTAATCGTCGAAGATTTCATTTTATAAATTCACAATAGCTCTTCAACATATATGATTTAGCTTTCGATTCATTTTAATTAAGTTCTTATCTTTCACTTCTTCATTTATTCCTACAAAGATAATTTTTCAAGAGAGAGACGTGGGACAATAATTCCGTCTCTTCTTTTAATCCGCAGAATTATTTTCATTTCCAGGAAGGCGATTTCATACACAATTGCGGGAATGAAAACACATTGTTACATTATTATTATAGGACCGCGCTAATTCGTGGCGCGGTCGATCGGCCGCGTTTCGGCCGCTTCTAATAATAATCGATGCCTACGCCTCTCCAGGGATTTCTCTACGGATCCAAATCGATACTATGACTGCAACACATAGGCTACTTGTACCGGCTAATATCTCTGCTATTAATCAACTGTGACGTCTCGTTAGAAAGCGGTTTCTAGATCGGGAACGACAGCAATAAAATTTATTTGCGTATCGAATATTATATTAATATTGCTAATGATGTAATTGTTCAATATCGCTTAATTATTTTAAAATAATATGATCTTCAAAACTCAAGTGCGATGTAATATTTTGACGCCAAGAAGCATTGCTATAATTTTCGAAAATATTAAAAATCTATTAAAGATTAAAATAATAAAAGAATAAAATAATAAGATCAAAATAAAAGATTAAAATAGTAAGATTAAAATAATAAAAGAATAAAAATAATAAAAAGATTAAAATAATAATATATTAAATAGATTAGAATAACAAAAGATTAAATAAATAATAAAAGAATAAAAATAATAAACAGATTAAAATAATAAAAGATTAAAATAATAATATATTAATAATACATTATTTTTTATCTCAATTCAATCATTACATTTTATAAACTCTTGATGATTGCGCTTTCTTCAGTTGTAATTTTTAAGGATCCGAATGTATATTATGATTATGTATTATTATATTATAAATAATTTTTTTTTGTGAAAATAGCTTTAACCTAATGAAGAGATCTGCGATAAACAAGATCGACGAGAAGAGCATTATCTCGATTATCGATCTTAAATTTCTGTCTGTCGGATGCGGTTAAAAGAAAAATGTAAAAGAATCGTGCATTTTCTCACCGATAAAGTCAGGCTCTAATTACAATTAAAATCTGGAATTAAAAGGTTGAAGAAAAGAGGCATTTTCTCGTTAAAGTGACAGATGCTTTTGTAAATGATACCGAGGAATACAAGCAAAGGCTACAGGTACACTTGGCACCATCTGTCTCCGGCAGGTATTTGCCGATATAATTTTATTATGTCATACGGTATGAATACACGAAAGCTCTTCTTTTTATAATCAAACAGGTTCATCATGATTATACCATTGCTAATCAAAATAATTTGCAATGACGCATGTGCCGAATCAGTCATCTCTCCTGCAAAGGATCCTATTTCCATGCAGGACAGTATTTTATGCAAGAGGGAAGCGATGATGAAAAGATCGAATTTGGATGAACGAACCTCTGAAAAATTCGACGAAAATATAAGTTTGAAAGCTACGCTTGATGATGATTCCACTGATGATTCTGAACAGAAAAAGATTAAATCCTTGGCACAAAAATTGGCAAATGAAGCTCTTAGATCGCCACAATTGCAACGCAATATAAAAAAATTGGCAAATTTAGGCGAGCCTCGATATAATTATTCTAAAACGATAAAAGATTCACTGATAGATCAGAGAAAGATGGGAAAAGTGTTTAAACCAGCAGAAAAACTGAGCAAGTCGAATCATAAAGGGAAAAGGAAAAAGACGAAAAATAAACGTAGACATGGAATAAGACAGGGCAAAGAGCATCTTTGGTTAGACAAACAAAATTATATTAAGGTAGATATTATATGATTTGTTATTATTAACTTTTTTGTTATAAATTTTTGTAACAATATAAGATATTCAAGAGAAAAATATAAATTTAATTTCTGTAAATTTAATTTTTTTTAATTTTATTTCTTTGAGAATTTTTTGAAAGATAAATACTAAAACACTTAAAAATTATTGTCAATTTAAAGCATTTCAAAACATAAACATTCTGCATAGATATTCTATTCCTACTTAAATCTCAGTTTAATTATAAATAATTACGTGCACTATTATTTAGAAGGAGCCACGAAAAATAAATCCATCTGCTAATCAAATTGACATAAAACAACGGAATATTATAAATAAAGAGACAACGAACAACTCCATAGTGAAGAATAATATTATTCAACGAAACTCTAAAACTGAAAATGCCTATCATTCTTTAAAAAATAATCCTTCGGATTCGAAACAACGGTTTCGGAAAATCGATGATGCGATTTCATCGAGACATAAGAACGTGATAAATCATTTAAAGCGAAAAACCACGAAGAATCCCAGAAAAAAGGACCATGAGATCGAATATTACAACAACGATAATCACAAAGCAATTAAAGTTCAATCGAAACGAGACGATACAGAAGTTGGAAACGATAGAATCGCCAGGCAAATCTCGAACGACAGTTCTACCTTCAACAATAATCCGTTCAATCATCGTTCGCCACAATTTTTAAAGGGAGATTTCTATGACAAGGATTTCATTTACGACGATTCGCTGAAACCTTGGGAGAGCGGTCGTTCCCTGATCGCTCAATCAGAAGAAGATAATGCTATCGATCACATGTCCACATACTCTCCTATATTAATCGATCAGAAAATCAATCCAAGAAGCCTGTATTATATTTCCGACGTAACTCAAGAAGATCCGACGTTTAATCAGTTTCAAATATCGAATATCGATCAGTCTTCTAAAGAAAACTTATTATTCGCCAATGATATAGAATCTTCTACTGACACTTTCAATTCTGATGTCGATCTGGCGCAGATTCTTACCACTAACGCGAATACCATTTTTGATCAGCAAATCGAAGCCGAGCAAATTCCTATCGAAGTGTTTCAGGATCGGAATAAGTTGAACGTTCGTTTGCATTCGAATTTAAGTATCGGATCGGAAATAAGCAAACCTGAGGAAGTGCAGGTGCTTTATTCCGACGCAAGAGCTTCGATGAACGTACCACATATTCTTCGTAAAGTTCCCGGCACTTTAAACGTATACGTCGCGGAAAAAAATTCTAGACCAGCGTCTGCGTTTAATGAATATGTTTATTCCATCGGCTCTACAAGACAGCCTCTACACAAGGTTAATGATCGCGTTCCAGTTCTTTCTCAATCGATCGTCAATCGACCGATAGAACATATCTTGATTCCTGATCGAGAGAAAGATGTCATATCAAATCGATACAAGAGTGATCGAAAACTAGCATTGGCCGAGGAAGTTCGAAAAGCGAAACAGGAAGCGGCTGCTCGAATTTTCCGCGAACAATATAAAAATGACAAGAACGAAGAATTGGCGAACAGTGAAACATATGGCGATTTTGCATCCACGACGAAGACGACGGAAGAAATACGACGGGCACATGTTTCTGCGACGTTAAATGAAACTAAGGAAGTCGCGAATCAGATATTAGAAAAGATCGTCGACGAACTGGAGGAGATTAAATCAGATCGAGCGACTGAGAACGAACAAAAAGAAGGTCTCTCTCTCTCCCTTTCTCGATTTTGCTATATTAAATTTTAATAGCACAAGATGTTTAATTAGCAAGATAGTTAATATTAAAATATAAATAACTTTTCATTCTTGAAAAATTTAATTTAAATATTAAGCAAATATTAAATGTTAAATTTAATATTTAATTCAATATTAAATATTAAATTAAATATTAAATATTAAATATTAAATTTATTCAAAACTCTTTTCAAGAAAAAATCAATTCATAAATAATTCTGTTACAATTCAAAAAAGTTCAACAGAAAAAATAACTTTTATACTGATTTTATTTCGAATATTAAAGTTCTAGTTCAGCAAAATATTTATTAGAAAAATATGCACACATACACACTTACGTTTTGATAAGTGGATGAAACTTTATCAGGTTTACCTTGCAAGATATCGGGATCCTGGGTAACCACGCAGGGTGGAGTACGGATCGATATGAAAGTCGATAATCGCACCATAAACGTGACTCTCGCGAAATTGTCGCCTCCGCCCACTCATCAGGGCTTGCTGGATCTCACTTGGAATCTAACGGGATACGCACCATTCGCGGCAGGTGGACCGTTTTCCTTGCTCGCCATCGACAATCACACAAAGTCTCTGGCGGTGTTTGCAGGTATTCGAGATTCGCGAGGCCGAGAATAAATTATAATTTTATATTTCGCGCGAGAAAATTAATTAAAGAATTAAAAAAAGATCTACGATATAATACACAGGTGCGTGCAGAGTGTGCCAAGGTATCGATACGATAGTTGGAGTTTGGTCGATCGCTCATAATCCGCGGGATTGCGAAGACTTTCAGATAGCCACGAATATTTATAACGACATATTTCGTCGCACTAAATTATCATCAGAGATGAAAAGAAAACACCGAGAGATCGTACGATTGTTTCAGAAAAACGACAAAGAGAATGCAACAATAGATTCGGCCTCGACCCTGAGTAACGTAATGCAGCACAATAACACGTTACAACGAAATAATACGTTCCAACAAAACAAAGTAGAGAAAGGAAAAATTTAGACAACGAAGACACTCTTAAGGAATTAATAGAGAATAATAATAGATAAAGAAAAATTAGCATATTACTAAAAAAAAGATACAAAGTTTTTTTATATTAGTAAATAATTTATGTAAACTTGAAAAAGTACAAACTTTGTATTTCTCTTGAGCATTAATAATTATATCAAAATATTGCTCTTATCAATATAATTTTTAAAAAGTACATACATTATGTAGACAATCTACAATAAATTTTTAATTGTAAATTTGATTAGAGATTTAATTTTCTTATTCTTCTCTTCTAATTCGGACGGAACATTGATCTTTTGTGTATATGTGTGTGCGCACGGATTTTAATTAGATGAAAATAATCTAAATGCTTATACATTGCATAACATTGTTTTGTTGTCACAATTACTTAACATCCGATAAACATTGTAGAATGGCATCAAAACCCGACACAACGATCTATAATAAACTTAGAGATTTAATAATTGATATTAAATAATGATTAATAAGAAGGTTATCCATTTATTACACGTTACCTTTAGCGTACCAACTTGTCTATTTCGATTATCCTTGACTGATAACGACACATGTTTGCGATCATCACCAAGTGCATATTTTTTTATATTAAAAATTGCATAACTAGAAAAGATCAGTTATCAAATATTAAACATAATAGACTTATTATGTCTACCGTAAAATTAAAATTATTATATTTGTTATATTCAAAGAGAGAACGCGAGCAAATATTTTTATAACACTTTTATAACAACAAAAAATGTACTATAATATAAAGAAAATAAATCAGTACTCACCCGACCTGCTCGCATTCTTTAACTTCAGCTTCCTCGGGTAAAGGTTCGCTAATGATAATAAATTTGACGTTTGGACTTATAGATTCAGTCAACATAGAGCGTAAATTATTTCTCTCCATAGAGTGTGTCTTTTCGTTTATTCGAAATTCTAAAATTGCAATATTCATTTCCTTATTCCTGCCATTAAAACACATTTGTCTTTATATATAAATAATAGACTTACTTTTCTTAAAATTATAAAACATTTCTTGACTAGCTGTTTTTGGTTTTCTCACAGAAGCAGTCTCCATATCTTCGCCGCGATGCCCAAGGAAGGAATACTCCACGTAAAGCAATTGTATTTCATCATCTTGCATGATAGAGCTTTCATCCAGAAGCTGTATGCTTGCTACTTCAATGATTATCATATCTTTTTCGAGACGCTGAAAAAGGCAAAAATAAAGAGTCAGAATTAATAATTACGCTAAATTATGTTATTATGTTACACACAATGTTATATATATTTGGAAATCGATATATTTTTCAATATACTTTTATATATACCCTTCTACATTAAAAGTGTGCTAGTGTACAATATTATTATGTTCATTAAAGATATCATTAAAAATGACATTAGTATTAATAGTCTCAGTGCGAAATTTATTTCATTTAATAAATCAATATCTATTTTAAATTAAATTTTAAATATTATAAATTCCAAATTTAATTTTCGTCAAAGAACCAGATAGATAAAATGCATTCTAGATAGATTTATCGCACGAGTTTATATTCGCAATCTAGCACCCTTCTCTTAAACATCTTAAGTTTAACTGAGTAAGCATAACTAAGAAACAATCTCGTACACTAGTGTCATGCTGATAATCTTGCACGTCCACGTTTAACGATTTATCTCCTGCAAATATTTTTGGACGACTAGTTGAGTAAACGCTACTTTTATCGATATAAATGCGTGAATACGAAGACGTAATTAATTACTAATTATATTAGCAGAATTCAGCAGACTCTTTCGCCTATACTTCTCCCAGTTTTTCTCTGAGAAAACCTCGCCCAAGTCACAGATCACGCTATTTGTTCCTTTGATCATCGAAACGTCCTGAATACGACCGAAAATTCGATAATTTCCAAATTGAACGTTTTCTATGTTTCGTACAATCGCGAGAGCTTTTCATAAGATTGCATTACATATCTTACATTCTCGATTAAAGTCCTAAACTCCTTCATGCTCGATGAATCTCTCAGACCATTCTGTTGCTCGATATTTCTGCTATCCGTAAATACATCGGAATCTGGACTAATTGAAACCATTTATATAACTCTTGTAATGCATATAAAAAAAAGATAAGTTTGTACAAAATGCTATTTTTCTGTAAGATTTTCTTTTGTTATATTTTGCAAAAATTAGACTTAAATAGAAGGAGATGACAAAAAAATCTTACTTTCTTGCTGTAACTCTTCTATTCTCTTCGGATCTTTTGTTCGTGTCTTTGTGAGGCGAAGAGAAGTCTTCGTTATTCGCGTTGTCGAAATAACAATTTTCCTCTTCCGAGTTTTCACTTTCATATTCAAAATCTGCGATTTTAATAATCGCAGTTGGGTACAATTAAATTTGAATCAAATATAATACAAATTAATTATGCAATAATGAAATTACTTATGTCTAATGGCGATCGGATATGAAGTTCCTTTGTAGCTTCTTGTATCGTGGTATCCTCTAAAGCTTGATCCTTTGGAGGTTCCTTTGTATCTTCTAATGTTGTCACATCGACCGAAGGTGGAACAAAACTTTTTTCCGGCATGTCAATCGTATCTTTCTTCATCGGAGGCACTTCATGGAAAACATCTCGTATCGATATTATACCGCATTGTTTTTTAAATGCTTCAACCATGTCAACGTTACAGCTCAATCGGACCCAGAGTGATAGCTGGCCAAAATTGACACCGAAGAAGCAACAAATAACGCTGTTCACAGGTACAATATAATGTAACTTATTCTGCGGATAATCCAGGATATCCTTGATGGAGACTTTCGCTCGGGCGATCGTGTAGCAGGTATCGTTTCGACGAACAATATTCACTCGGAAGACTAGATACTCCGACAGCACGTTCTTGAAGAAGGAAGAAAGATCCGCTATGCGGTACACGGAGGACGAGTTGAAGATCAGATTAGGGCACTTCATTTTCGGCGTGTAAGCGGTCTTCTCGCCCCAAATATCCCAGCTTATGTAAATATGAAGATTGCATATGTCTTCTTCTTCTGGGATTTTCGCGATCTGATGATTTCAAAACGCGAGTATAATAAAATGATTTCCTTCAGTTCAAAAATAAACGACAGATTTTTTGTATATATATAAGATACATATGTTTGTACATATATTTGATAAAAAATATTTTTTCAATATTTCATTTTTTATCGCTCACAATATTTCCACAACAGTTCCTAAATTAATAATGTAATTTATATAATTATTTATATAATTATTAAAATACATATTTAATTATTAAATTACATATTTAATATAATTTCATATGTAATTATATATTATTGTTTAGCTGTATAATTTCATTGTTTTACGTGAGAAAAGTGGATAATATAGAGTGATTAATGACATCAAAATATATAAACATAAATATGATGGTACAAAGTAAAATACAAGTTTATTATTTTATTTGATATATATTATATATAAAGATTATTAGTAAATTTGTGCGTCGTTTTATTCGAGATACTAACCGATGTGGAAAGTTGCAGTCGCGAAATGTGAATCTCGATGAGACCTTGTCTATCGGTAATTAATAGAGGAAAGCCTTCCGTTGGGCACGCTGGCAATCTCATACTGTCATTTAGACATTCAATTTTACAGGGTAATTTCTGCTTCTCTTCCAGCAACAACGGATCCTTCGTTTTGCGCAAATTGCACGTTAAATTACATTTAGGATAATGCGGCTTTAATCTCTTCAGTTTCTTTACAGGTTTTTCTGCCTAAACGAAAACCATCGACACGTTATATTATATTAAAAAATTTTACGTTTTTCACTTTGCACTGGCTTACGCAGAAGTCTTTACTAATATCGCGGTACGATGATTTTCTGAACTTCTCGTGAATCATAGGAGAAAATTGAACATCAAACGGGTCTTTCCTTAAGACAGTTGCAGATTTCTTTTCACACATGAAATTTCTATAATTCTTGGTGTCAACGGCGGTTGGTTGAGGAGCAAAGCTCATACAACCACGATCGGAATCTAAATTTCGCATAACATTTTTATCATTATTGCATATACAATATCATTTGTCTTTTTGTTTCTATAAATATATTCGTCAATGCATAATCTTTGTCAATCATTACCGAAATTTGTCTGAGCTACGTCCGAGCAAGAACGATTTTGCTTAATACGAGTAGACATCACAGAAATATTATTATTGTTAACATCAATTAGCGAATCCTTGATCGTAGAAACTTGGTGACTTGAAAATATTTTTTCGTCAGTATTGCTAGACGTCGCTATATATTCTTGCAAAACGTCGAATAAAATCAGAAACATTTGATTTAACGTTAGGTTTGGATTCTCCGCGAGCCTTTTTCGTGAACTCTCAAGATTTGATTCGTCACGAAGTAATCGAGAAGATATTTCTCCATCGCTGTAATGAATACTCTCATGATGATAGCATATACACACAATAATGTTCCAATCTTTACATAATATATTATAAAATATAAAAATTTATATAGAATATGTAACATAAAAAAGTAATTGTAACAAAATATAAGGGTATATATTATATAAAAAGTTATTATATAATCAGTATTTATTTATATTATAAATTAAATATATAAAATGTTTCATATACTTTTATAGAATATTAAGAAATTGTTTTATAGCTGTTTGAACACACAAGATTTTGTGCGATACACAAATTATTAATTTCCTTATAAACTACAATACAATAAATATAAAACATAAAATATTAATTATATTAGTTAATAAATCAAGAAGATATATCCAGAGAAAGTTAAACAATACATCTACTTATATAATACATACATACAAGTACTGACACAAATATTGAACATTTAACTAATCTTCTTCATTAGATGCTATATGACAACGAATGCTATATTTATATTTTACCTATACTCTTGAATTTATAAAATATGTATTTGTCATTTGACGTTACAAAAAAATTATTATCTTACAATTATAATTTTAGTTAAATTTATTAGATATAATTATGTATCTGTTTCTAGGAATGTTTTAGTACCATTTACTTTAATTCCATATTAATATTAATATTAATTTCATATTCCAACTTACATGAAAACTATCTAATATTTTAATATCGATGCTGATATTATTATACTTCCATTACATTTGTCATAAGCGAAATTGTATCATTGAAAAAAGTAATAACAAAAAGTTAATAAACGTAAAAATTAATAATAAGCGGCAAACTCTCTGTCAACAATTAGATTCACCGAACAATAGCTTCTCGAGAGGTACGACTTGCCTGTGCCTCTGAGCTATATCCAAAATACCCATATATTCTTCTTTTGAGGCGATTCTCGACGCGTCCAAAGGTGTGTTAATTTGCGCTTGATCCAACAGCTTTAATATTTTTTCGCGGGACAAAACATTTTTGCCATTTGTTTCCTGATTCGTCTTCCATTCTTTCAACGGCGATTGCAATGATACCTTCTCCTCATTTTTTTTCTCTTCACTTCTCGTCACTATACTTTGTTCGTTTATGCTGGCAGTGATGATTATTGCCTGTACTGATTTATCCACCAATTGTAAATTTTCTCGCGAGTTGCCGATAGGTTTCTCCAGCTGTATCATTTTATCGTACATTTCACAACATTTCATACATTGCTTTATGTCTGATGATAGTGCCATATTTGAAATATCGTCGCATTTTTCGTTTTGCTTAGGAAAAGACTATAAATATCATAAAATTGCAGATCACTCAAATACAATTTGCAATTATAATTTCAAAAATATATACAGATATACTAACCGTTACTTGTACCGTCAAGGCATCTATGTTTGTCTGCAATTCCTGAAGTTTTACGAGCAATCGCTCATTCGTTGCCTTTAATGATACAATGTTAGCCTGCTCGTTATTGAATGCAATTTTCAAGTTTTGTTGATCCTGAGCATTTTCAGAAAGCTTTTTTCTTAATTCTACATTTTCGAATTCGACTTGACTATATTTCGAAGTAAGCGCGATAAGCTCGTTATTATGTTGTTGCAATATCTTAATTTCATTCATAAAATCCCGTATCTGTTCATCTTTCTCGCGTAATGTGAGCTGTGAATTTTTCGCATTTAACATCTGATGATCGATCTCGGCTATTCGTGTCCTCTCTGATGAAAGAGCGGCCGCAATCTCCTGATTATTCCTGAAAAAATGATAAATTTTTAAATTAGAAACAATCTATATTGACAAAAAATATTTATATTATAATGTTATAATATTATAATAATATTATAATATTTAAATTTAAATAAATAAATAAATAAATATATACAGGGTGGGGCATTTATCTTGAGACAAGATAATATCTCGATTGGAATCGATTATTTTGAAAAAAGTTTTAGACAAAAGTTGTATGGTTTCAAGGGGGACATAAGATGGTGTTATTAGTTTGATCTTGAAGAGCCACCTGAAGGACACGCGAAGGTCAGCTCCAACTTTTTAAATGGGACACCCTATATGCTTTTGCATATTCTTGTAGCTCATCTCAAGAGCTTTCCAAAACACTATAATTAAGTTAGTTTTCATTAAGTACTTTCCAAGTTATGAGGTTTGAAATCATTTTTTAATTTTACATAAACCGTAAAATATTCATTTTTCGATTATTTTACTTTAATACTTTTATGTACAAAATAATGAGAGGAATCAATTGGTGTAATGAAAACATACAGTTGTTTTTAAGAAAAAATATGTAATTGTTAATTGCAAATTACATTTTTTTTTTCGAAACAACTATGAGTTTTCTTTACACCAATTGATTTTTCTTATTATTTTGTACATAAAAGTATTAAGGTAAAATAATCGAAAAATGAATATTTTACAAGATATTTTACGGTTTATGTAAAATTAAAAAATGATTTCAAGCCTCATAACTTGGAAAGTACTTAATGAAAACTAACTTAATTATAGTGTTTTGGAAAACTCTTGAGATGAGCTACAAGAATATGCAAAAGCATATAGGGTGTCCCATTTAAAAAGTTGGAGCTGATCTTCGCGTGTCCTTCAGGTGGCTCTTCAAGATCAAACTAATGACACCATTTTATGTCCCCCTTGAAACCATACAACTTTTGTCTAAAACTTTTTTCAAAATAATCGACTCCAATCGAGATATTATCTTGTCTCAAGATAAATGCCCCACCCTGTATATATATATATATATATATATATATATATATATATATATATATATATATACGTATATGTGTGTGTTCGTAAAATTTATTATACTGATTATATTTGACAAGATTATTATGTTAATTATATTTGATAAGAAGAACGATTTACTACAAAAAAAATATAAAAAATATTCAATCAATTTTTTACATTAAAAAATTTATTAAATCTAGTAATAATATGTTACATATTTGAGAGAAAAAAAGCTAATATACTTCGTCGTCTGTTCAAGAGTCGTTTTCAAGTCGTTAATTTCAGTAGTCAACGCAGCGTTTTTTTCTTGAGCCGTCATTAGTTTATCATTCAGCTGCTTCATCTGTCGCCAAACTCGTATATACTCCACATTCTCCGCTATCTTTTCCCTTTGAGTGCTAGTGGAAAGCGCCAGCTCTTTCTCTAACTCTGTTATACGACATACCATATCTTTCTTCTGCGCCTCCAGTTTCTACGAAGAAAGGTTGAACACTAGGCGAAAATTATGGCGCGTAACACATTATACACAACGAGCAACTTTACATATTCTAATTATTTGAATATAAGATCGCAAAATAACTTATATATAATATTTATTATGTTTTTTATTATTTTCGATCATTTATTATCCTGTATAAATTTATTTCATTTTATTTATTTAAAACATAACTGCTAAATGAGATAAATGAGGAAAATTAAGTACGTGCAAATATTTCGAGAATGTTATTTTACCTCGATTTTAAGGAGGCAATTTCGCATGTCGTTATCGTCATCTCCTGCCCCAACGATACATTGACATGATGGTACTCTCGTGCGATTATTCTCACTTCGGCACGTCCTAAAACAAATTAGTTCGGTATTTTCACTGCGTTGTGACAGTGAGTCATAAGATAAATTTCATAGCATACGTGTACTTACACGAGTCCGGAAGACGATGGTCTAACGAGATTACGACTGCGCGATGATGATCTACCGCTCATCGTATGACTCAACAATTGATTTCTCATCACGCCGATTTTCTCTTTCAACTTAAACATTTAATAGAATATTATTTAGAAATACATTGTTGTTATCGCGCAAAAAGTATTAAGTTTTATATGAATAAAAAGACGCTATAATATTTATAGTAAAGAAAAAAAATTTAGAGAAATCATTTATTTCTTAATTCTTTCTTAATTTATAATCTTTCATTTATATTAATTTTATTAAAAAGTGTAATCAAATTTGTAATAATATTTACGCTATACATTACAATAATACAAATGATAATTTCTATACAGAATAGTACGTTCTTCCTAAAATAGTAATATATGATATTTTTATTTATTATATTAAATAAATTATTTAATAAATATTTAAATTATTTAATTAATAAATTATTTAAAATTTTACAATTAAGAAATGTATTAGAGAATTTTATTAGAATATATCATACCAACATAACATGATCTAAAACGAGGTTTTTCCAAACAGAAGAATGTTGTTATTGAATTATTATACGAAAGATTTTTTAAGGCCATTATTTCAAGTCTACCTTGGTATTTTCAAGCTCTAGCGCAGTTATTCTTCTATCGTCAGCAATATCTAACGATAATCCACACGATCTTGGATTACTGGCTAATCTAATTAATTTTGTACCGAGCCGCTTAATCTTGTCTTCCTGGCAATTCGATAATTTCTTCAGATTGTTTGCCTCGTCCAGTAAACGTAGATACTTATCCTCTAACTGATAACGATCGAGCTTGCAAACGAGATGACGTTCCCTAGGATCTTTCATATTTTAAATGTTACTCACACGTATACATTCACATACATTGCATCATGTATATATTTGGCAAAAATAAAACAAAAATTATTATAATAAAGAGAATATTAAAATGAAAAATGGAAACTAAAATATATATTGTATAGAATCTCTTATAAAATATTTGTATCTGTCGAACAATATATGTAGAAAATGAGTATATAAATCAGAGAAAGATACGAGCTAAAGATTATCTAACTCAATTTGTGATAAAAATATATGTGTATATACAAACCTATCAAACTAATAATTGTGTCTGCGCAAGAGCCTTCCTTTACGGGCAAAATATCACGATTTGGATCATCTGCCATTTTCAATCAGATTTCTGATATGTAGACTGATCACTTAGAATTGATAAATATTTAAAACGTTGATTAGCACATACAAATTCTGAAAAATTAATATAAAATTAATATTGCATTTTATTTATATATAAAATGTGTTATTAGATCGGTAAACAGAAAAAAATATTATAATTTGAAAAAAAATATTCCTTCTTCATAATCTGCATCATTATATCATATTTATATCATATTTATTTCTCTTTCGCTCTTTTTTTGCTCTTTCTAGATTCTTTTCCTTACCAAAACGATGACTATTTTTCCACACATTGTATTTATTTGCACACACAAAAATAATTAAACGTATTTAATCTATTCATGATCGTGAATAAAAGAATTCGAGTAATCGACTTTGCAATTCTCCGCTAATTTCGGTTTATATTATTCTCGATTATCTTCAAAACAGTAATTCTCAAAGTAATAATTTCTCAATATGCAACGATAAATTAATATTAATAAATAAAAACATACTTATTAATCTTTATTAATTTAAATGAAAATTTATAATTTTTTTATCTTTTTTCCCAATAAATTTTAAAAATATTAAGTAGTATTTACGCAAATATATAATATGTATGCAATTTTCGGAATATTAATAGAAAGAGATATAAATATTAATATTAATAAAATATTAATAGGAAAGAGAATGACATTAAATAAAAATATTATATCGAATAGTTATCTTTTTTTACATGTAACACTATTAAATTATAATGTAATATTTTCTACACTATACTTGAAAACCATACTAATTGAAAGAAAGCTGTACTAGCGCATACAAATGACAATAATTATCACTGGTTATCGCTTTGTGACTGCCAGATTCGAGATTAATGCTTATATACACATATATACGTGCTATCAGAACCATTCAGAACTCTTCTGCCATGTACTTGTATCTCTAAATAAAAGGCATTTCCGCGAGCAAATAATATGATTCATCCTCTCTCGATCTCCACCCTATATGAATCATCTCAGCATAAAGCTTTAAAAGCCGTAAAAGAAATATTACAAAATAATATCTTAAATTGAGAAAATAAATACAAAATTAAAGATTATTCCAGATTGAAAAATCCTCATTAAAATGTATAAAAAAATATTTTGCAATTGATTCAACGATATTTTTAGACCCACTCAATTAATGACATTTTAACAAAAAAATGCAATATATGATATTGCAATTATATTATGCATATACATATATTCAAAGTTTCCCCGTCGTCGACCTGTAAAATTATTTGCGCACCCTTTTTCCGAACAACCCGAGTGCATAATCACAGAGTGTTACGCAAGAATAATCAATCTAGAAAAAATGTAAAAAAAGAGAAGAATGAATAAAAATTATATACACAAACATTGTTGTATAAGCGATTAAAGTATGACGATAAAAAATTCGATATTTTAAATTAAATTTATTCAAGAACCATTACTTGGTTGATATTAATAGTATTTAATACTATTAATATAGATACTATATTAATAATAAATAAAATAAATAAATATTTATTAATAATAAGAGAGAGTATTAATATATATAATTTATATTTTTAAATATTTACTATTAATAACAAGTATTTATTTCTTAATAATAAAAATGTGTATTAACTATATGAAATTTATTTTAATTTTCAATTTTGATAGTTTAATTTTGACATAACATCACCTCATCCAATTATATCATATACTGACCGTCATTAAAACTTTTCCTAAAGTACGCATCATCATGAATAACAATACGACAGGTGGACGTTTTGAAGGAAAAATAGCACGACCGTGAAGAAGGAAAGTCCGATGTATATAGAAACTGTCGAGAGGATGCTTCGGGAGGAAGAAACCCGGAAAGAAAAAAAGAAAAAGAAAGAGAGAGATGCTACGGCGAGTGGTCGCATCACCAGGTATATACACACGCACACACCCACATATACGAGAAGCTGCGAAGCGCCACTGCGAGCGGCACCACGAGCGCCGAACCAAGGAGGGAGAGAGAGAGAGAGAGAGAGAGAGAGAGAGAGAGAGAGAGAGTGTGTGTGTGTGTGTGTGAGAGCGAGAGAGAGCGAGCGAGTGAGAGCGAGAGAGAGAGAGAAAGGAGAGATCCAGCACAACCTGACCTGTCCGTGACCACCGCACCGTACCCTCGCTTTTGACATCGGCGGCGGTGGCGGCGGAGTGTGCGTGCCAGTGGGAAAGGTAAGATGGCGGCGGACGGAGATGCGGCGATTCCGGACCAGGAAAAAGTGCGAATAGTCTCGGATTTTATATTGCACTCGCCGCCGGGGGAGTTCAACGAGGTGTTCAACGACGTGAGGGTTCTGCTCAACAACGACAACCTGTTGAAGGAGGGCGCGTCCGGGGCCTTCGCGCAGTACAACAAGGACCAGCTCACGCCTGTTAAGGTACCTTCGTCGTCGTCGTCGTCATCTTCGTCATCTTCGTCATCTTCGTCGTCGTCGCCGTCCTCGTCATCATAATCATCATCGTCATCGTCGTCATCATCATCGGCATCGTTATCAGAGTCGTCGTCATTAGCGTCACGCGCGCTTGTTCCTCCCAGAGTACGAGATCCGCGAGTTCGCGCCCTCGACGTGTACTTTCGCTTACTCGACCTCCTTTTCTTTTTCAAGTGTATTCCGATTCCCAAAATCCGCGATCGCAGATTTTACTTTCTCTTTCTCTCTCTCTCTTTCTTTTTGCCTTGGCCTTATCGGGCCTGTCGGGATTTATACAGGTGACCTTGGTTTTGGCTCGAGGCACTGATACGCGATACCGGTATCCCCTGCAGCAGTTCTCGCGCTTCACCGGCTCGAATATTGAACGTTTTCATGCTAGATTACGAATCTCATTAATCTCACAAGATGATGAAAAACCATTGTAACAAGTAGCAAGTTTGTAATATTTCTTAATTCATGGATAAGAATTGTTTTTATCTCCTTTTCTTGCTTATAACAAAGTGGTACTCTAGTATATTTTGTGATTCTAAAATTAGGCATTATTGGTCCAAAAGCAAACGTTGCGATATCTTATCTTTGCTGTGAATGACTGGTTTCACAACATTAAGAATGCTAAGATTATACTGACGTTCTGTTTATGTTTTTTATATCAAATCATAAATGCTCGCAAACTTTCATTGAGTAATACATAAAAACAGAGAGGTACGTAAACTAAATTAAATATTACAGTTGTATTTTTTTCTTTGTATACAGATAGAGGGAAGTGATTATCCAGCGCTTATAACAGAACACAATGACTTGGGTTCTCAGAGGTTTTACGATGCACGGAGTAAGCAAAGTTTTAAATATGATCACTTGAGGAAGGAGGCACAAGATTATGAATCTTACGAACCAGATCCTATAGCGGAGCCTTGGAGGTCAGCCTTTCAAGATGAGATAACGAATTATACTCAAAGTCATTATAGACATGGCGCCTGCTCAGTTTTTGGGAAATCTTTTGGAGGTAATTATTTTGTTTGCATAATTGCCTAAACAAAATCGTCCGCGCAAAGAGTAACATTAATTTTTATGCAGGAAACGTAACGCTAACGGCGTGCATAGAAGATCATCAGTTTCAACCTAAAAATTTCTGGAATGGCCGTTGGCGTTCGGTGTGGACTGTAAGTTTTACTCCAAATTCAGGAAACGCCGAATTGAGAGGTAGCCTCAAAGTACAAGTACATTACTACGAAGATGGAAATGTACAATTGGTCAGTAGCAAAGAAGTAAAGGAAAGCCTGCCTATCTCCAACGAGAAGCAAACGGCGAAAGATTTGATACGGTTTGTCGAAGAATCCGAAAACGATTATCAAACGGCAATTTCCGAGAACTATCAAACCATGTCCGACACCACCTTTAAAGCGCTGCGAAGACAACTGCCGGTAATGCGAACGAAAATCGACTGGAATAAAATTGTGTCGTACAGTATTGGCAAAGAGCTTAAAAGTCAATAGAAATAGATTTTTTTATATATAATAATAATAATATTAAAAGAAATAATTAAAAAAAGAGAAGAAAAGCGCATTTTGCTGCATGAGTGAAGTCTGGACGTGTGATGTGCATGGGAGCAAACTATAATACTACTAAGTAATGTCTGATTAGAGAGATATTTCGACTCATGCATACCACTCAAGGTTCCTCTTGACTCCATATTATATGTTATAAGAAGCAATAAAAAAAAGAAAAGAAGATTAACATTTTCGGCGTTGTCAATTGTGTAAAAGAAATTAATTAAAGATTATAATTTCTCTAAATTTTTACATACACAAGTTTGGCATAAAGTAATGTAACATTAAATGGCTTGATATAAACATGCATTATTTCTATAAATATGCTGATTGTAAAATATAGGATCAGTATTCAACAGTGGAACCTTTGTATAAATGTTTCTTCGCTTTAATTCTAACCATCTTTCTTAAAGCTATATCCATGATATTCGCATTATGCAGCATAGCGCAAGATATAATCTTTAACTTCGGATGGACATAAGAACAATTAATAATCTATCGAAGTAAAAGAAATATTTACTATTTATAATGGGGGTAATGGGAATCCTTGCTCTTATGTTAAGTAATTGAACTGAGGTTGAATTCAATGTGTTGAATAGCTTGAAATTTGTGAAACACAAATAGCGAAAATAAATTTAAGCTATAATTATATTATAGTTGTGAAGTAATGAACAGATGCTGGAAGAGAAGATGCAGTTTTTCAATTTTGACATAAAACTTATAAATTCCTGCAAATTTTATCAAAAATATAATAACATCAGTGATATTTCTCTGATAATATTTATTAATATTTTTGTTTACGCATTTATTTTTCCTTGTAGGAATTTATCGCACATACAATAGAAATTGGTATACAATATTATATGTTCACTGAGATTATTATTTTATTGATAATCTTATTGCTACAACTACATCAATCTGTTCTAGCACAATTTATCTGTCACTTGACAGTTCACCCTGACTCAAAGCAAAATAATTTCAATCAGTTTATCATTAAATTTGCAATGCATTCTGCAATCAAATACTAAAATTTGCACAATTCGTTATTTACATTTTATAAACATAATTATAAATCGCGAAAAGTCTACGTAAATACATAAAGAAATAAGTTTTTTTTTTTTACAGACGTGCTCATGTGCAAATAAAATAGTAAAATTTATAATTTATGTTAGATATAAGAAAAACATCTCTTTAGGTTCTTATTTTAAAAGCAAGATAAAATGCTCGTAATCTTTAAGACTCAAATCACTTAAAGCCACGCGATAATACATCTCGTGTATTTGAAAATTTGGGTAAAAAGACCATTATATGTATACGCATATACATTTCAATCATTAAGTTATTTGTCAATACAATATGTTGGGGCCATGGGTGATGTCAATCGCATAATATATCAAACGTAATACAAAGACATTAGATGTGTCTATTTATAATTTGCCGGTATCGAACACACCGTTAAGTGTTCATTATCACATTCAATACACATAAAGTACAGAAAACAAGGAAACATAACTCTTAACAGATATTGGTGGGCAAGGCCTACTATTTTTATCCAACTTTATATTTCACACATAAAAATATAAGTCTATATACATTTTTGTTAAAATGTATATTGTTTTATAATAAGTATGTCTATTATATATAATGGATACGTTACAAAGTTTAAATATGAACTACTGAAATGAATGAAATAAATGTTGATCATTGCGCAATTTGGTTTCTAAATCATATTAAAGTATATCAACCCTGTCGTGAAAGAATCATTCAAATTTAAAAGCAGAAGCAGGAAGTCTCTTGGTGCTATCGCTTACTACACATTACACAGCCAGACATTGTATGCGAAAACGGAAACTAACAAAGTACATGATACATTGTACATTGTAGAATGTAGCCTATAGCCTGCTGGAGCCTTAATCTGTTCACTTTATGTTGGGGGAATGGAAATGGGGACAATGAAGATTGGGTCTTGTGGGGGAAACTATGTACATATGTTATTTGGATGAATGAATGCGACAACCATCATTTGACTCTTAATGCAATAGGATTCGAAACGTGTATGTAATATTATTTGTACTTTGTAAGTTACATCGTAATTCAAGGCATCATCTTTACTGCAGCTGCAGTAAAATTCTTGGAAGAGAAAAGAAAACATGAAAGATTCTTGCCATTGATACTTAGGAATTCAGTCAGAATACACACGAATAAACGATAAATTATTTGTTAGCATACGAGGCGCAATAACGAAGTTATTCAATGTAAATACAATCTCATATATGCTACTCAAGTCTCATTGTTTGTATTACGTATGTAAATTACAAAATGGAGCGTACTGAGGTGTGTTTCGAATCTTGTCAAAACTCCATACAACATAGTTGCCTACGATATTGAAAAACTAAGTATTACCTGCAATCGAGTGTATCGTAACATAACAAAACGCATGTTCTTATGTAAAAATTTAAACACAGGATACATTTATCAGTTAAATTATGCATTATTGAATGTTATGATTGATTAAATAAAGTGATGTGACACTTTATATTGAGCTTTTAAGTATGAAAGTAATTCTTTTACGTAAAGATTGATTTGCACTATTAATTTTTACTGTACTATATAGATATATATGTCATTTTCCATATTATTCAATGTATTTTATATAGCAATAGAATTTGCAATTTAGAAAAAATTTGTTTTTTATGTAATACTATTAATGATAGATATTTGTAACTTCATTCTTTTTAACTATGTTTTCAATATAAAATTCATACACACTAAAGTAAAACTATACTAATAAGATATATGTAGGAAAATATATTTTAATAGAGTTTTTAAATTTTTGATATAATTTTTGTGTTAATTACAGGAGCATATATTAACCTATAATGATCATAATGGTTAGAGTCTAATAACTTTATATAAATTATATCCACATATGACACAAATTTAAATTAAACAATTTTAATTGTGTAACGTATGCTTTTCTAATACAATTAATTTCATGATAAAAATGAGATATCGTGTACAGGTATCTTTGTTATTGTTATTACGTGTTGTTTTCATGTATGCAGATCTACTTGAACAAACACTACTGTGATACGTACGAACGTGTCATAATTCAAAGCTGCGAAGAAATGGAAAAACGTACCTTGCCCATATTGTGCTAGACATTATTATACTCAATGTGAGATGCGAAAAGTAAATATACAGGCACATAATTGCACCGTAAAGCATCAACAAAGACGCCTTAAACGAAACTCGACATTCATAAGCAACCACCTATGCTTATACCATCAACCATCAAAATGGCATCCAAACAAGGCAGCACGTGATAGCGGGTGATTGCTCTTTTAAGTGCACTTGTGTACATCTTCTCTACTAGAATTAAAGTAAACATTACAAATACCAGCTCTAGAATTTCCTCTCAATCTCTTCTTAAATTAAGTATTCGTTAATAGATATCCATTCTTTTGTTAGAAATAGTACCTTTTCTCTACAATTTTCAGTGATAATTTTTACGTTTTTGTCTGAGCGGATTTATTTTTGTCACGAAAAAAGGGAACTTCAGTTTATAGAAAAATTACTATTTCAAAATAGAGAGAGATACAAAAAAAGGGAGATCTATAATATATATATTTATTTTTTATTCGAAGAAAGAAGACAAATGCGAGAAAAATAGCTGAGCAACTGGAAAATATAGAAGCACCTTTCATTATAATTATTTTTTTCTTATTATTCGGACACAAAGTATTATATATAACATATGTGATTCTTTGTATATTGAATTCTGGAATTTCTATTTCATTTTCATGACAAATTTTTTTATCATATATGTAAAAGATAACGATAAGTGTGATAAGCACATAATAAGCCAACATGTGACATTGCAGGTTGCAAATGATGCAAGACGATGGTAGTGTCATCTGTCATATGCACCAGTACTATCAACGCGTTAAATGATTATATCCATTCTTGTTGTATATCCATCTCCGCCATCTCCGTGACTTCGACAACAACGAGCAGAATATTCTCCGCAGTAGTTTACCTCCGGTATCATCTTGTCTCCTGAATTAGAAGATTATTTCACAAGAAATGGCTTATAATTTTCCCGGGGTACCGGCAACCGCTATGCCACCCATGGGTGAGGCTGATTAATTCTTTAATCGTCATTAATCTAATATCTATCTTTTTATAAAAATAACTCGACTATTTAGTCGACTATTTAGTTCAAAAAGAGAAAACTAGAAGTTACGTGGGGTATACGAATGAGAATATTTAAATATTACAGGAGGTGTTAATAAAAAAATATGTGATGTATGTGTATTTTATGATGTAGCTACTAGGCTACTTTGGAGTTGTTAGAATCAATAAAAAAATGATAGCTTGAATATATTAACTTTCTTGAATTTTTAACGCTTTTAGAATCATTAATCAATAATAAAAACTAGTCTATATAAAGATAAGTAATATACAGTGTAACATAAATATTGAAAGAATTTTGAATAAAAAAATATATAGAGATAAAAAATAATGTAATACATGTGAAGATTGTAAGGATTAAATTGGCTAATAAGTTAATAAAAGAAATTCAAAATTAGGGACTAAAAAAGGAATCTTAATAAAATATTTGAAAAAGATATTTCAATATTATTGAAAGATTTAAGATGTAATTTTTAAATTAAAATATTTATCTCTTTCAATAGGTACAAAATTATTTAAATAATATAAAATATACAATAGAATATATATGCAAAATTATTAAAATGAATAAGGCAATTATAAAGGAAAAAAATATGTAAGCTTTTATAACAATGAAACACATGGTTTAACTTAAATATAAATAAAATTAGGAAATTTTATTATATTAATGACAGAATATATTCAAAGCAATTTTAGATTATTCAAAATATCATTTTGTTTCTTTAATATTAATATTATGTAATTTTCAGGTATGGGACCAATAGGTCCATTAGGACCTATAGCAGGACCACAAAGCTTTATGGAACTTGCGGGTCAAGGATTCCCACCGCTGCCACCACCACCCATACCACTGCCTGGAATGAATGACTCGCCTCTAGAGTTCAGCACGAATAAAAATCAGCCTCCAATAGTACGAGAAACTTCGGACGATAATAGCGACAGAAGAAGCGATAAGAATGATAATAGGAGAGATCGGGAGAATAGGGATAGTCGTGATACACGAGATAATAATAGAAGGTAATATTTCAATTTTATCTGTATTCTGTCAAAAAAAATGATAAACAGAATAATCTTAAGAGCTATAGAATTACAAGCTTTAGAATTACAGAATATATCTATACAACTTTAGTTATAGCTCGTATGTTATCTTGCAAAAGGTCAAGGAGCGAACGCAGCGATAGACGCGACAGAGATCGAGAAAGGAGAGAGGAGAGAAGTGAACGAGATAGGAGGGACGATCGAAGGGTCGAAGAAAGGAACAGCACGAATTCCTCCAAGAATAATAATAATCACTCTAACAATTCGAGCAACAACGAAGTTTTATCGTCGACGAATACGAATAACACACCGAGTATCGGCACGCAAATGGAATCCGCTGGAGTCTGGGGAATGGGAGTAGGTTATCCCATGATGGGCATGGGTCCTATGGGACCGATGGGACCTATGATGGGCGAAATGGCACTGGGCCCTCACATGAGTCACACACACGGCTATAATCCAATGGGTATGGGCATGATGTCGCATGATGGTAGCATGATAGGTGCTCAGATACTTGGTGCCGAACAAATCATGACGGACGCGGCGCAAATAATGACCGCAAGCTTGCCACCGCCACCCACAACACCTCAAGGTACCAAAGAGATTATTCATTGTAAGAGTTGCGTGCTATTCCCGCCAAATCCGAACGCCCCACCGCCTACCACACGTGAAAGGCCACCAGGATGTAGAACAATTTTTGTCGGAGGTAGATATTATTGTGCATCGAATATAATATAATTATAATATAATATTATAATAAAAAATTATAATTAAATTAAATTATAATATATATTATTCAATATCGTAGAATAACGTGTTGTAATAATTATAATGTTTTATAGGTTTACCAGAAAACATTACTGAAGCTATAATACAAGAGATATTTGAACGATGTGGGGAAATAACTACTTTGCGTCTTTCTAAAAAAAATTTCTGTCACATACGCTTCGTATTGGAAGCCAGTGTCGATGCAGCGATCTATTTATCTGGCTATAGAGTAAGAATAGGATCTAGTGGCGAACCTGCAAACACTGGTAGACTTCATGTAGATTTTGCACAGGTTCGTTATCTGTTAAATGTTAATGTTAACATTAATTTTTATTTATCTAGATTATCTGTTTTATCTACATAATGCTTAATAATGATCTTCAGGCTAGAGATGATCAATATGAATGGGAATGTAGGCAACGACAATTGCAAAGAGAACAACGTCATAGAGAAAGGGTGGAAAAGGAGAGACAAAGACCGCCGTCGAGTCCGCCCCCGGTAGTACATTACACGGATCACGAAGCATCCAATATTTGCGAAAAAATTAAACAAGATGATACATTTATGAAGGCAGTACAAGTGAGTAAATGCTAAACAATAATAATAATCCTTTTTATATATATATATATATAGTTAGCAATTATATTTATTGATAATTCCTCTGCATTTCCTATAATTCATAAATGATTTTTGCAGGTTGTTGTAACGTGGTTAGAACGAGGAGATTGCACCAAACGCAATGCCAATACCTTCTATTCGATGATACAATCGACGAATTCTCACGTACGTCGGCTTCTGACGGAGAAAGCTGCGTACGAGGAGGAGCTGCAGAAGGCCAAGGAGTTGATGAAAGGAAGAATGCAAGGACTTCTCATACAATGTACGTTTACATACTTTTCTGTTCTCTGTCTGCAAGACAGCTCCATACTATCGTACATATTTCGTGTGCGCTAAGAAAATCCGCATTGGCTGGTAAGTTCACTTTGGCATATAAATAGGTCCAACGAGGAAATCATCTCGCCTCCTTATTTGGATATAGCAAATACAACAAAAATCTCATTATCTTGTTCATGATAGTATAAAAGTAATGACAGCGATATCACTATGTTCTTCATACTGTGTGTATGACAAATCTTTGTGCCACATATCAAGTTCCAATAATAAGCAGAGATTTTTCTTACGAAGGTATGTGTTATACATCGTCATGTGATAATTAAGAGTAACAATTCATGACATTAAGGTACAGCAACCATTTCTAATCAGGTATCAAAATATCAAATCTCGAATTTTAAGCTTGTCGATCTCGACGTATGATATTTCGAAGAACGGCTTTTGCATATCAAGTGATACGCTTGACGTAAAATTATATAACTCTTGATATACGACAAAATACTTTTCTGTCTCGTCACTAACTTTTACAATTTCTCAAGTGTATCATAGCGAGTTCGTTATTATATGAATTCTGTTTGTGGTCAATGCACGATTGGAGGCGACTCGGTAGGAAGGATCAGGGATAATAGGCGAGGATAAGGTGGGTGTAAAATCCTATCTTCTCGGACTTAGGATCCAACAAAACTGACGAGCAAAGGCAGTTTCTCACAAATTCTATCTATAGAAGCCATAGTGTACTTGAAAATTGCATGCTTGACAATACTAAGAAGTAAGGGTGATGGGCTGGACATCCATTGTTAAGAGATTATTTTGAATCGTAAGATTCAAACTAACTTTTTGTATAATTTCCTTCAGCAAAATATATACATATTCATACACATATAAATTACACAATGACTGTTAAACAAGTAGGAGGTGAAAAATGTGTTGGGTGTTATTCAAAATAATTCTTAACATTGGGAATCCAGAAATTGCAAGTCTTCTGGGGTTACATTATCTGCAATAAGAGGTGGAAAGGCAATCAATGAGAACGGAATGTTTGGTGAAACCAACATTAGATTAAATGCGGCACAATCTACATGAGACTCTGTGAGACTATTCGTAGCTGTATCAATACGTATCAAAATACGCTCCCGATTAGTAAAGGTGCGAGATACTGTTGTATTCATCGAGAGGAATGTCACGATAGCTAAACGTTTAAACATGACAAGAGTCCGCGTAAAGAGAGTACTAGAAAGCATAGACGAAACTACCAACTTTAGAGTTTCAAGCAAAAGGTATACAACAGTGGATTTGTTGTGTTTTTTTGTATGCAACATGCGACCATGTCATCAACAGTCAGTCAGATCGAACGAGTCTTTACCGCCGCCAGCCACAAGAAAGTCTGGGATCACTTCACTAAGGCGCAACGGAAGAACATCGAGATGTGGAAGAAGCAATCTTCGGTATGTACGTAATGCACTTCCACAATGCTGGTAGCGTGTCTCTTCTTTTTTCCTTCTCTTATCTGTCTAACTTGAAGCACTCTCAGAGTCTTGTCTGTCGCAAATATGCTCCTATGCGCGTTTTGCACGATACCTCCAAACACGCTCGTTTTGCAAATTGTTTTTCTAAGATATGTACAGGTAAGTGAGATAATTGAGAAAGAATCAAATTTCCGCCTGCGAAAAAGAAAAACGGTCAGACACCTCGCTTTTCTTCGTGCGTTTATAATTCGGTACTTTATCGTGGAATGCCGCGACAATAAAAGGCAACGCGCACAACGTTAAGAAAACAGCGTATGGAACTGAAGGTAATGCGAGATTAACACTTCCGGATCGAAGAAAAGCAACCACAGATTATCAGACAGCATGGATTCGCCTCATTTTCCCGAACAGTGTTACTCGATATACAATATATTTCTATTATTTCTGTACTTCAGAGCTGCATCTCTGCTTCTTAAGTTCAGGTAAGCCCAAAGCGTTCCAAAAAGACACAAGTCTCGGAAATGTTTAATAAAAGCTGAAAAAAAAAATCATGTTGCATCGCGTATCTCAACTCTGAATTACAGAAATGTATTATATAACATAAAAATGGGAGATTAGTAGTATATATATATATATAAAAATCTTAAAGAGGGCCAATCACATTTAATGGGATGTATTTAAATACCATTGTTTGAACAGCATACATATATAAGAGACTATATACTTTGCATGCATTTGTGTGAAAAAGCAATGCCTGCGGATTGATGCATTTTATAATTTTCGTTGTTCGTGATGACAGGAAATAAAAGCGGTGCAATTAGAAGATAGTCTAATTGAAGGCGAGGGTGAAATGGACGTGTCGGATTCGGAAGAGGAACCGCAACGTAAGAAAACACGCAATCAGTCTGACAGCAACGAGGACATCGAGAGATTGCAAAGTCTCAAAGAAGAGAACGACAGTTTGAGATGCCAGTTGGAAGCATATAAAAACGAAGTATGTATTAACATGAACAAGTTTCAAACAAATAAAAGATTTACATAAAATTTGAATTTGAATCTCCTAGGTGGATCTCTTGAAATCGGAAACGAAAGCGGAGTTAGAAGCGAAGGAAAAGCAAATGAAGATGCTACAACAAACATTGAAGGGTATGCAAGAGCAACTGATGCAGTCGCGTAAGCAACAGGCGCAGGACGACCAAAAAATCAAGGACTTGACTGTCAAGCTGAATGCTACAAAGAAAGAGGAGCCCAGGGAGAGTGAGATTATCACTCTTGACAAAGATGATGACATAAGTGAGGAGCCACGTACGCCGAAGCAGCACATTCTTGCTTCCAGTTTCATACAAGTCACTCAAAAAGATGCCAAACTCATTGGTAAATATATTCATGATTTTCATGGCGAAAGAGATTGTTTCAATAACGTCAGAAAATTAGAAATAATTAAAGAAAACATCTTTTTGACATCTTAACAATATTAATTTTTGATATTTGATGTTAATGGTGTATGTAACATTATAGGACTTATAGCGACGTTCCTACATATCCATCCGTTCGGCGCGAGTGTGGATTATTTATGGTCTTATCTGCAAAAGATGGAACCTGGTATTAAACCTAACGAAGTCGAAGTTTTAATGCAGCGTTTCCCGCAGGTTTTTAAACAGGAATTGTTCGGTATTGGTGCGAACATGGAAAGACGTTGGCAGTTTTCAGGTTTTAACGTTTATCGCGCTCATTGATTGAATCTAGACGACTGAATGTGTAAAAAATTGCGAAAGTAACATTTGTCTTGTTGTTCCTTTCTTAGCATTATTATTCGCAATGCGAGTGCAATCGAGATTTGTCGGTGATAAATGTATTAAAACGACGAACAGAATATGTCGTGAATTAATAAAGTATCTTTATCAATTCTTAATTTGAAGCTTATCAATTTCAAGCATCACTCTAATTTATAGTTGAATCTTGATTATATTGAATTTATTTTTAAATATCTATTGCATAAGTTTGACTTATTGAAATTACTATTCATAGTTATAGTTAAAAATTTTAAATTGAGCAGTTTTCACATATGGTATGTCCATATGGTGGCAAAGACCAAAAAAGAAAGAGAAAGAAAAAATATAATTCCTTCTGTCTCTTTTAAATTTTATATGAAATTGGATATTTAATGATTCTGGCTTTTGTTGGTATAAATGTTTCTCAAATTAAAACTTTACCTTCACGATTTATTCTTAGAACATAATATTAGCCATGTTTAATCTAAGTAATGTAGTAAAAATCATTGTAATATTTATTTATCCTTATTAATTTGAAATATTCTGTGCGTTTGCAGAATGATAATCGCGATTATTTTGATCTTGTATAGTAAAATCTGATTAAATCTTACTTTTTTAATCGGTTTAAAATAATCTGTATCCGTAGCATATAAAAAAAGAAGATAATCTATTTTATCTTTCTCTAAAAGAGCAGAGCCAGAACCGCTGAATATTATTTTCTTTCTTTTCTTAAGCTTGCTTTATCAAGATATTGTTGGCATGGAGTTGCTCAATGTTTTTTACATATCTGTGATATTTATTATTCTCTCTTTTTCTTCCTTCTTTTTAACAAGACATTTCAATCCCCCGAAGAATAGTCTATTTGATTTTGCTTTTATCAGAAATATTATATTCCTGTCTTTTCGCCAACAAACTTTCTCGCCAAAGGAATAGCAATATAAAGCGATGTGAAATTTAAATTGTCCTCTCGAAGAAGACAATTTAAATTTCACATCGCTTTATATTAATTTTCTTCCCGCCAAAACTATATTATAATATTATATAAATTATTATAATATTATATTATAATATTATTATTATTATTATATTACATTATAATATTATTATTATTATTATATTATATTATAATATTGCTATTATAATATTATATTATAATATTTTATATTATATTATTTATATTATATTATTTTATATTATTATTTTATAATATTATATAAACTATATATAATATGTACACTTGAAAATTCTATCCGTGAGGTAGAATGACATTAAAATTAAACCGATCAATCGGGATTGAGAAATGTTTGCTCCTTTTGTCCTGATTGATCGATTTGATACTTTACCCTGCGGGTAAAATTTTCGAATAGTGACTGTAATCGTTTCTTGGCGCATGCGCAAGGAAGGTAAAATAACACTGCACACTGCTTTGTTTTGGTAGCCTTGGGTCTGTTCTTTTCAGCTGCACTGCTGCACTAGTACAATTAGTTAGAGTGAAAGAAAGTATGTTTGTCTCTCTCTAACTTATTGCACTAGTGCAGCAGTGCAACTGAAAAGAACAGACCTCTTGTTTAAATGTGTGCGCAACATGGTGTATAACGTGAATCTTCCCTTAAGGTTATGATCATAAAAGCATATAATTATAATTTTAATATATAATTTTCCCATCCATCGGTGTTTGTGAAGACACGAATGAATTACTACGAAGTACTCGGCTGCAGCCAGGACTCGACTGACGAAGAGATCAAGCGTGCTTATCGGCGTCGCTTGCTACAGTTTCATCCTGATAAGAGCGGTGCTACGGACAACCACGAGTTTTACAACGTTACCGAAGCCTGGCGGATATTGGGACATCCACAGTCAAGAAGGCGATACGATGCAATCTGTAAACAAGAAGAATTGGAAGACAGAGAGAAATTAGAAGACGGTCCCGTGTATGCGCGTCTCTCGCCGAGCGATTTTGAGGAATCCGAGGACACGTTGTTTTATCGCTGCAGATGTGGCGACCGTTACCTCATCACGCGAGATGATCTTCGGGAGAAGAACGTTTCGCTCCACGTAATGTGCGACGGTTGTACGCTTATCATCGTTGTTGAAACATAGCGCAAGTCGATGTAAAATTTATAGAAATTTATAGAAATTTATAGAAAAATATGATATTATTGTAACACAGCTATAGACATTTTTTTGAAAATTCGTATGTTTGATAAAACTGAACAAGAGTTAAATTTGTCGAACAAGAGTTGACAAGAGTTAAATCGAACAAGAGTCGACAAGAGTTAAATTGCGAATGTCTAACAAGTAAGATGATGAATTAAGGTGTTTTTCACGTTTGTCTTTGTATAAGATATATGTATAATATAACGTTCACAGTTATATAGAAAGAAGTCAAAATCGAACATTTATTTTGTACAAAATATGTTTCTTAGCACAAGAACATGTGTACAGTCGTAATAAATTTAAAAAAAAAAACAATCTAAAATATGTAGCAACATTTTTTTTCTATTTCTTATAAAAAAATGATACAACAGGTAACACATTCTTATAATATAAACTATTGAGCAATATACAAATAAACACGACACCTAGTCTAACCTAGGTCCAATAATAAAGATGCATTTGCACAAATTGCATTATTAATAATGCTATCAATGATATGATTCAGTAGAATCCATGTAAAGTTTGTCAATTGATGCAGGATGATCCATGTCTTTTCTCTATACAACTCGTATAAGTGGAAAGATCTGGCTAATACAAATATTCTTCCTTTAATAACTTCACCTACTGTTGATAAATACCTTTAATTGTAGATAAAAGTGTGCTATCTCGCTTAGGCCTGGTTGCACCAACATTATTTTAGCTTTAAGCGAAACTTAAATATATGTCTTTATTTATTTAGAAAAAAAGATAAAGGTAGACATATATTTAAGTCTCGCTTAAAGCTAAAATAACGTTGGTGCAATTGGGCCTTACAAACTTGTTTTAAGTCTGTATTGCACATGAACAAATGTGCTATTTTTGTATATTGCACTATGATGGAGTGAAACATGTAACATTGGATAATTTTTTACTTTAAATCTTCTCTATTCTAGGGCACACACAGCTATCTCTAAACTGAAATTCTCTTCTTGTGCTGTTTTCTCATATTCATATATGAACACCAGTAAGCAAATGTTAACAAATTGCGTGCAAATTTGATCAAAATTTCGCACTAAATCAATAGCCATCTCCGTTTACATTAAACTCGTGTTTTGCTGGCAAACCTTGTTGACATAGTTTTTATCGACAATTTGACGTCAAGCATATACTGAAAAAAAAACTTGGTTGAAAGAGGCAAAATTTGTTTTTCCCAACTAAATATATTGTCCGATTCAAAATCTGTAATTGCAATTCTTGTATGCAAATTATGTGCTTTTTGCTGACAATTAGTAGCAAACCCTTAAGAAAATCTGTTCAAGCAGATTTGGCTGACTGAACATGTATAAGAGTGAGACAAAACAGCAGAAAATTTCAGAATAAAGGGATATCATGATTATCCTAAAATAGAGAAGTTTCTACAATACAGACCTAAAAATGTATTGTAAAAAAATCGTATTATTAATTTGGATATTTCATAATCTATTTGCCGAAAGTTTCATGCTCCTATAGTAAAATATTAATAATATGAAAATATGGGCTAAACATTTGTAAAAATATTTGTTTTTAACCAGATCACGATGTTTGTATAGGTAAGTAATAAAGTCTAAAGACTTAGATTTAGACATGATCAGGATATTAAAACTAAAAAAAAAATCAGTTTGACGCGCGAATCGATTAATAAATCATATAAACTTATGATATAAACAGGCATTTAAACTTTTTTTTTCTTATAAAAAAATGTGTAGTCTCAATGATTGTATCGAAATTATCGTCGACAGTTTTTCTCGTTTAGCTCCAGAAAGTATGAGATTCTTCAAATATAATATTATTTTGCCTTGTAGTTTTAGTACGTCTCAGTCGTCTCATCATCTTTTTCGCCGTTGACAAATACTTCTAAATGCCCACATAACAAACCTGTTGTTATACTTACAATGAATTCTGAATTAGAGATATTTGCTACTTTTGCATCGTTGATGATTCCACTGAATCGTTATAACAGCGAAAATTCAGAAGTACACTGATAAGCTCCTCGGTTTTTTTTTCCCGTAGGTTTATGAGTCTTATAAACCTCACGTTTGTACAGCACAACATCGCGCGCGCATCGAGAAAACGATGTAATTATAATTTTTCGACGGGCACTTTTAATCCACCTAAAGATCATTCGCTCTAAACATCTTTTTCTCTCTTTTTCATTCACTCACTCACTTTCCTTCTTTTTTTCTCTCTCTCTTTCTCATTCGCTTCGATTTCTCCCTCTATTTCACAAAAATTTCACTCGATTTTTACGACGCAGTCTTATCACAATCACACCATGTAATACATGTACAACATAGATTAGTTTTTAGACTACTTAATTGAAGTATGTACAGAAGTCGTACAAAGGGGGCGATTGTATCCACGTATGCACTATTTTACCTCAACGTCGAAATCGAGGACAAGCAGTTTCGTCTCTTCGGTACCATTACGACTACCTACTGCACATACTAGTTTCGTATCACTCGCTCGAATTCTCCATACAACACCACCGCTACCCCCACTATCGAGAGCAACTAGATTCCTAATGAAATCACCTGTAAACACATGATACATATTGTGTTTTCAACAAAAAATCAATAAATTCTGAATGAAGCAACTATACAAAAGAAAAATATACAAACCAGTCTTGACATCCCAGAGTTTTACTGTACCATCATCAGAGGATGTAATCACAAAATGGCTATTGAACTGAAGGCAAGTGACCGCTGACTGATGTTTGTTCGGGCCGGAGAGAGTTTGAAGGCAGTGACCGCTAACAATATCCCATACTTTAACTGTAGAATCAGCATTGCCTGATACTAAAATATTATTACGCAATTCCATCCCCGAGGTGAGAGACTGATGACCCATTAGAGTGTGTCTACAAGCACCGGTTTCTACCTCCCACACTCTTATGCTTGTGTCCAACGATCCGCTAACAACGTGCACCCCATCGAACTAACGGAGGGAAAACGGCAAGTAGGAACGGCTCAATGGCGAAAGGCCACAAGCGTGAACATTTAAAAGAAATAAAACAATGCACTTACTTGGAGGGAATAAACGCGATTGGTATGTCCTTGTAAAGTATGAAGGCACTCCTCGCGCTCTGGATTCCAAACTTTGACCATGTAATCATAGGCACCACTGACCACCAACTTTCCATCATATTGCACACATCTGACTGCCGCTAGGTGCCCCACGAGCACATGCAAGCACTCCCCCGTGTCCACTTGCCACACTCTTAATGTCGCGTCCCTGCTACCACTGACAACCTTGTTACCATGCAAATGCATACATCTCACTGTCGACGTATGACCATATAAGGTGTGAATGCAATGACCGGTTTCCGCGTTCCACACTTTCAAAGTACGATCCGTACTACCACTGATAACAATTGTGCCGGACATCTGCGAAGACCACACGCCACCGGTATGCCCGACTAATGTTCGTAAACACTAAAATGTCAAGAAAATATGATATTGCATGGTATTTAATATTCATTTTTTTTTTTCTTTCTCACTGGCAAGATAGCTGAGAATCTTCATAATTTCTACACATCTTTATATAATTACCTTGCCTGTCGCAGCGGACCATACTTTAAGAGTATTATCATCGGAACCACTAACTATCCGATTGCCGGAAAACTGTAAGCATGTAATGACGTGATCGTCATGGCCCTTCAACACTTTCGGCGTACGAATCGGTTTCGTTCTCCAGTTCATTTTAATATTATGCTGTCGCATATAAGCCTGCTTCCACGGTGACGAATGATTGCCGTTACGGCAGTTTTTACGTTTTAATGGTGGCAAATCCTTCAAGTCTTCTATGCCGGCCGCCTTGCATTTTTCTTTCCAAAGCAGATTGTCGTCGGCTAGGAATCGCCAGTTGCGACAAGTTTGCGCCGCTCTTAAAAGATCCTTCGGCTCTAGGAACGCCAATACCGATAGCGCTAGCTCTTTCGGCAGGAGCGATATGAAATCTCGCTGAAACTGCGGCTCTATCACTTGCATCATATGACGCACCTGCGTAGGCTCGCATCTGTCTATTAATTCGTCTATTGCTAACATTCTTTCTGCGTTTGACCATCTCTGTAACAAGCATCATTTTTACTTAATTCTTAAGAAAAATTTACTATAAATTATATTTTGTAAAATGTTATCAATATGAGTTACTATTTATTATTTTAGTAGAAATACACAAGTCAGATACCTGAAATTGCAAAAGCCAACTACTCAGTTCTGGAGGAGGATTATCCTTGGTAGGAATGACGCATCTCACATGTTTACCTTTATCATCTAATTTTCTTGTAGTCCTAAGGGAAGCATTAAAATTCATTAATATATAACAATGCTTTGCAAAATAAGAGATACAATGCTTACATAGTATGAGACTTTTCCTCCGGATTAAGTTTTTTACATGGTAAACAACATTCTGTTTCACTCTTTCGCTTTCTTTGAGACTGGACATCTGATGACACGCTAGGCAACATAATAGGCAACATTGGACACTGTACAGAGAGGACCATTTGAGATTGCGATATAGGTGACTGACCATTGTTGCTTTCAACTTCCGCTGTACATTCGGTATCGCAGAACAATCCACTATCGCTAATCTAATAATATGAAAATAAAGTATTAATTATTGCAACAATATTAAATTTGTAGTTTAGTTTTGCAATTTTTTTGTAAAAAATTTAAAATATTAACCAAGGTACATCTTCAAGGTACATCAAGGGAAAACTCAGTCACGTCATCAACCACCAATTATGATAGCATAACTGAATCGTGTGCATTAAAAACAAAGTTGCATCAATTATATAAATTGAGAAACATTTTCATCAAATCCCAATTAACTTAATTATATGGGAAAAGAAAAATTAAATCAGAAATGATCAGTTATATAGTTGGAAATTTTGCTGCAGGCAATTATTAGCTGAATAGTCAATTAAATTAATTAAGATATGATTAAAATGGCAATCTCTATTAAAAATAGTGTAATAAATAAACAAATAATTAGCTTACTTCGCTTTCTCCTTCGCTGCTCTCTTCATCACCCTCATCTTCATCATCTCCATAATCCTCAGATTCTTCGTCTTGTGGCAATATCGAATGCATAGGATCCAAGGAGCTAGGTCCTGGAATTCCCTCGATACCTTCGATTGGACTAGGACTGGCGCCGCCTAGTTTATTATTGTCAGATATATTGTTGGAGGAGGAAGGAGGGACAGACATTACTAAGCGCAGCGATAGTATTAAGTTTATGGATATAGTAACTGCACCTGTACATAAAACAAAAAAAAGTATCGACCATATTAGTACAATTGAGACATATCAAACAAACCTACTGATTTGTTTGTCAAGATTCATTCGACGTACATATTTACATAAACGTAATCAGTCAGAATTTCAACAAATGCGCGAAACTAACGAAAATATAGCGTATCGCGTACCTGATGAAATATAGTTTTATCGCGAAGGGTCACGTGAAACTACGAATTGTCAAAAAATAAGAGGAAAAGAGGAACAACTTAATACAACGATATAGAATACATAGATTACAATCCATCGGATAACGATTATCGTTATCGTCACGAGGATTCCCTAACCTCTCGAAAAGTATCGCAAACAAAGGACGAGAAACCGGCAGCCACACCCCACATGTTCGAAAGCGAAAGCGGCGACGTCGAATTTACGACAAGCTGCGAAACGGCCCAAGAGGGGCAACTATGTATGTATGTACATAAAACTGGGGACTATACTTAGGACAAACGCCGTTCCCGGTCGTCGAGGCCTTTATCGGTCGATCGATGACGTCCCCGGCGATGCTTGACGACGTAGAGCCCGTCCGTGTCGACGACGACGACGGCGACGACGTGTTGTCTCTATCAAAGGAGCATGGCATTCGTGTCTCTCTCTCTCTCGCGTGCGGTGGCCGTCGTGTGTGGGCGATCTTGGATATCTTAGGTTAGAATCGCGAAGGGCGAAACGCGATCGGGTACCTCGTAAGCGGGAGTGGCGGTGCGGGCGGTGGAGAAGCGTCGATCAGGTCAGCAGGGGAACGATGGACGTAAACGACACGACGAACCACGCGAATCCATCGAGGGCAGCCTCCTGGCAGCGCTCAATCAGCTTTTAATCCGCACCTCCCGACTCCTTCGGACTCGTTCGCACAGCACTGCACCAGCGAATACGCATGGAATGTCATACACATGTGCGCGTACACGTATGCAGATGGCGCACGCGCATGCGCGCGCGAACAAGCCGGGTTCTCGTGCGCATTGGCCGCTTTCAGCGGATTCAACCGCTAAGTAACAATCGAATATAATTGGTTTCTATTTTTAGGTCCGACCAATCAGCGTCGAATTACATCGGAAAATCTAGTAATGCGGCCATTTAGTGCATTCAGCGGACTCAACAGTTGGGCAACATTACTAGATTTTCCGATGTAATTCGACGCTGATTGGCCGGAACTGAAAGTAGAAACCAATCACGTTCGATTACCACTTAGCGATCGAATCCGCTGAATGCGGCCATTGTCTTTGGAGTAATTGGAATAAACGGTAAATCGTTTTTCTATTGGTCGCCCATTTGTTTGAAAACCAGAAACAGAGAGGAAAAGATCAAACGAGTAAGGGAGATAGAGGATAGAGTGAGAGTGAAACATAAAGTTATACTTTGAACATAGAAATATTATATTTGATTATATTATAAATTGTACTGTGTAAGTAATGATTAAAATAAGAATTTGAAGAAACTTAATATTTATTGTGAAAATATAAAGGAATATATAAGAATATATAATAATAATTTTCTATTATGATCTAACTAGACTTTTGATAAATTTTAAATTAATAAAAGAAATGTATTTATAAACTCACAAAATAAAATATAATTTTGTAAATAATGTTTTTAATAATATTTTATATTCACAACAAGGTGCTGTGCACAATAGAGAAAATGTTGGGAATAAATTAAATTAAATATTAAATATTAGGAAAAAATTAAATTAAATATTAAATAAATTAAATTAAATATTAAATATTAGGATTAAATTAAATTAAATATTAAATATTAAATATTAGGAATAGGAATTATTTTAAAGAAATAAAATCGACTCTGATATATAAATACCAATTCGGATATAAATGGGTTTTGTTAGCTTCAGTTAATTTATATACGCAAATTTATATTTGTAGCAAATTTATACCAGTCCTTTGGATTGTATTTTAAAATAATTCCTATTCCTAGTATTTATTAATATTTATTCCTAACATTTCTTTATTGTGTGCAGAGCCTAAATTATATAAAATATATACGTTTGCATTGAAACACGTTTGAATTTTGGCGCTGAATGTACCACTTCCGCTTTTGAAACAAATGGTGACGATTATTCCAATCACTCCCTGGAGGATCACTACTTTCGCGCTATAAAAACTCCGCTGTTTGTATTCGTTTCGAAATTTTACGTTTTGTGTTATTCGAGTATCGAATTATTATAAATATTAGTTGAATACGAAATTATTATATTCGATTTATTTCGAGGAAATTAGGAAACTAGGGATTCTAATGACGTTTTTAAATGATCGGATTTAATTGCTCCGGAATTTACTAGATGCCATTGACCAATTACAGTCATTCTTCAGAATCCGACCTAAGGTACCTATTTAAGATAACTTTTCATGTAATTCATTTAAAATACCTTTTCATGTAATTCATTTTTTTATCAATAAACGTCACGTGATGAAAAGTGACGAATCGGTATCTTTATTTTTAGTCACCTGATGTCTTTTGTCGGCATGAAAAAGTACCTTAATTCATTCACTATTTTTATGTTCTTTATAATTTCTCGTTATACGATATAATTAAAAATATGAATTTATTTAATAACTTCTACGTAGAATATAAAAATTATAAATTATAAAATAATATAAAATAATAGATTATAAAAATGTTTTTTTTCTTAAACTATACAAGAGGAAAAGTCGATCAAATGATTTTGACAAGATATTGGCAAGCTACGTTATAGACAAGATAATCTTAAAACATATCAAAGGTTATCAAGATTATATCAAAGCCTATCAGAAGTATCAACGGTTAAAGTACAGAAAAATAAATAAATGCACTGATATTTGTAAAACTGCATGATGTTAGATAAACATCCAGTATATAAAAACTCTCATCATACATATTGCTACTAAAATTCGAGAAAATTTTCCACAATTTCAATACAAAAATTCATTATGATATTTCATAAGAATATATTTATTTTAATAATAATTGCAAAAAAATATAAATATAAATATAAATTAATATAAATTAATATAAATAAATATAAATTAATATAAATAAATATAAATATAAATAAATATAAATAAAAATATAAATATAAATATAATCTTTTATATTATAATAAATCTTATATGATATAAATCTTATTATTATCTCTACATATATATATATATATATATATATCGTGGTAGAGATAAAGAAAAATTTCAAGATAGCAGAAAAATTGTTAATTGTGCCGAGAGAGATAACGCTACCTCTAGGACTCTCTCTCTCTCCCTCTCTCTCTCTCTCTCTCAACTGACGTTTTGAACGTAACTGCGCGTTCCAATATATACGGAGTTTAGTGCATCATGACGGTAACGACGACGGCGACAACGACGATCACGACGACGACGACAACGATGAGGATTATGCCGCGCGACGACGTCCGCCGCACGCGTGTGTCCCGACAGTGAGATCGGCATCGGCGATCGCGCATAACGACGGTGCTAAGGAGGCATTCACGGGATGTCGCCGCGAGTACGACGTAACGATCGAGCGCAACGTGGAACTGTCGTCGCAGCTTGAATCGTTCAACATACGCCGCGAAACACGCATTTTCAGCCCCGACCCCGAGGCAGGGTCGCCGCGATCCGCTGAAAGAAAATAATCCTGGACACATAATGGCAGCTCACAAGACGGGCGGGCAGAGCGCCCGTAAGAAAGTTCAGGTACGACAGATCGACGGGTTCTCCCCTCCCGATGATGGTGAGGAATTTGCCGATCCTCGGGGAGCTTCGGCGCCGGGGATAATCGGCACCGTATAATCGTTTTCACGGTGATGAGAACGAGGGAATCTATCACGGTTAATTTGTAGGATTGTATGTTATATACGATAATATGTTGAGTTTAACGAGACAATCGTTAGTTTCCGGGACGAAATAGCCCCTGTAGATTTATTGTGAAATATTTACTTTTCAAAGACATACATTTGTTGATTTTATTTCTTTCTTTCTTCAGATGCCCGAATCAAATATTATATAGTAATTAGTGTATTAAAATGTGTGATTATACTCATTCATGACATTATTGATGTATAATTATAGATGAAATTTAAATTATAAATACAAGAAAAGATCTATACATTAATATTTGTAATTAATTTTTCTTAAAGGTTTCTATGGTTATAAGAGATGAAGTAGAGAAGCAACATAGAGCTGGTGTTAATTCCTTACAATATGATCCGGCTCTGCATAGGCTATATTCTGCTGGTAGAGATAGCATCATAAGGATATGGAATTGTAGAAATATGAAAGAACCATATATTCAATCTATGGAGCATCATACAGATTGGGTCAATGATATAGTGTTATGTTGTGGTGGCAAAAATCGTACGTACATATTTTTTATATATTATTATATGATTCTCGATTCCTCATATGCCAATTTTTCAATTATCATTAATATACTATACAGTTATATCCGCAAGTTCCGACACAACTGTTAAGGTATGGAATGCGCATAAAGGTTTTTGTATGTCCACATTGCGTACACACAAAGACTATGTCAAAGCATTAGCATATGCCAAAGATAGAGAGCAAGTTGCTAGTGCGGGTCTAGACAAGTCGATATTCTTATGGGATGTTAATACTCTGACTGCTCTTACCGCGAGTAATAACACTGTGACAAGTATGTATTTGCAATACCATAGTGTTGTGTTTTATCTCTTTTATATGTAATTAATATATTATATTGTATTCTAGCATCATCCTTGAGTGGAAACAGAGATTCCATATATAGCCTTGCTATGAACCAAACTGGCACGATTATTGTGAGTGGTAGCACAGAGAAAGTTCTTCGTGTATGGGATCCACGATTTTGCACCAAACTTATGAAACTTCGTGGCCACACAGACAATATTAAAGCATTAGTCCTGAATAGGGATGGTACGCAGTGCTTGTCGGCAAGTTCCGATGGTACTATTAAATTGTGGTCACTTGGTCAACAAAGATGCGTGCAAACGTTCAGAGTTCATAAGGAAGGAGTATGGGCGTTATTGGTAATTATACAAAATTGTACAATTACTATGCAAAATAATTAATATGTTTATATATACTTAATTATATTAAATATCTGATGCAATTTTAGGCAACGGATAATTTTAGTCATGTAATATCTGGTGGTAGAGATAAAAGAGTAGTGATGACAGAATTAAGTTATGCAGAGAGATATACAGTTATTTGTGAGGAAAAGGCGCCTATACTCAAAATGGCTATGACGCCGGATCAATCTAGTATTTGGGTTGCAACCAGCGAATCAACTATTAATAATTGGGTAAAATATAAATATTATAGTAATAAATTTTGATGGACAAAAAGAGAATCTATAGAAAAAAATTATATTCTTTGTTATATGTTTCAGTCTATAAGTCAGAAAGATTGGCAAGAGTTAGGACTTGGAGACTATTGTGATTCTGCCAGTAATGTATCAAGCAACATTTTAAGAAATACTGAACCTGCACAAAAGATATTAGGTGGTCCTGCCATAAGACATTATCACATATTAAATGATAAAAGACACGTTTTAACAAAAGATACAGAAGAAAATGTTGCATTATATGATGTATTAAAGGCGTGTAAAGTGGAAGATTTAGGCAGAGTCGACTTTGAACAAGAGTCTAAAAAAAGAAATAAAGTGGTGTATGTTCCAAACTGGTTTAATGTTGATCTCAAAACAGGAGTATGTATTTTTTTGACAAATCAAATTGCTTTTTTTCAGTATTGAATTCAAGTTTTAAATATTCTCAATTGTTACAGATGTTAACTATACATTTAGGGCAAGACGAAAATGACTGTTTCTCTGCATGGGTTTCTGCCAAAGAGACTGGTCTAGCAGAAAACGATGCTGTAGATCAGAAAGGTGATCAATTATTTATTAATCGATAATATTCTCGATGTTAAATCTAGAGATTTTTAATGTTTTTTTTCATGTTTTAGTGAATTATGGAAATCTTTTATTACAAGCGTTACTTGAACATTGGTGGAGGCCATTACATGCTGATGATGAGAATGAAGGTAATGGTAATGACGGAAACGGTCCCATACACACGAGAGGAGGAAATCCATACTTCTCAGTACCTAGTCATACACCTGTTATTTTTAGGTATGTAAAGACTTAAAAAATACTTTATTAAATAAATTTATCATTTATATTTTTTTTTATTTTTCAGTGAAGTGGGAGGAAGAACTATTTACCGATTATTAGTTCGAGATGCTGCGGGAGAAACCGAAGGTGTCCTATTGAACGAAACTGTACCACCATGGGTAGTGAATATTGTTGTGGACAAGAATCTTCCACAATTTATTAAAATACCTTTCTATCTTCTTCCACATGCTTCTTCAGGTGTAAAAAGTTTGAAAAAGTATGTATCATATTGTTGAATGTTAAAATCGTGTCTCAACGCAATTAAATAATTTTACATATTATTTTAAAGGGACCGTTTAATCGCAAATGATTTTATACAAGTGCGTAAAGTGGCGGAGCATGTTTACGATAAGGTGCTTGGTGCAGGAAGCGATTCAGGTTCGGTAGCTGGAGGTGGAAATACCGTTTCAAGTGGGTCACCGGCGGGCGATAGAACAAATACAGATTCTAATGCTGATAATTCTTCGTTGGCCGAGGAAAAAGTCGAATTACTATGTAATGATCAGATCTTGGATCCTTCAATGGATTTGAGAACGGTATGTGTAAAGTTCAGAAAAGCTTTTTGTCATTGTTATTGAAAAAAGATTTTATATATATTTGATGGTTTTTCAGGTTAGGCATTTCATCTGGAAAAGTTCGGCAGATTTAACACTTCATTATCGCCCTGTTAAATAGTTAGAATTAACTACATTGCATCGCGAGTCTTTACAGTGTGCCTGGTTTTATACCATGGTAAGTTATTCCGCATGTTTCCCTCTATTTCATCGATTCTGAATAAAATTTGCAACAAGATTGGTTCGTTTCAGAATAATGGAAAATACATAGTGGGCTACTTGCAAAATATGGTACCTTGTGCCACTTTTTCCTTAGGAAATGATCACCTGGATTTAACGAATGTTTCGTGCGAAGTCGAAGCAGAAGCGAAAGAGAGCGAGGCATATTTGGAGTATTAGGATATAATATGTGAAGTTCAAAGGCAATAATGTGTGGAAGTATTAATGTATAAATTGCTCACTTTTATACACACCTGCATCCCGCGGCCAAATTCACACAAACGGAACATTACTCTCGATTAATCTGCTTAAGAATAGCATGTTTTTTGTACCTGGATATAGAATTTAAAGTGCTTGTTGTCAGCCATTTATCGTCTTCCCACGTCAGAAGTATCAATAAGAGAGCATATAGCACAAATGCAAAAAATAATAATAAAATAAAAAGAAAGGGGATAGACCGCACGGCCGAGAAAATTATTGATTTTGTTAGGTCTAATAGGATCCAGGTGATCCTCTCAAATGCTTCTCAAATTTTCTTTATTGATTCTACTTTAGCTAAATTTTCCTCCCATAATCAATACATAGGGCTGTCTTGTTTTAGTACTGTAATAAAAGTATTGAATATTTATTGAAGGCGTGAGAGAAATTGTATAATGTTTTGTTACATGCATGCAAAATATATACTCCACACCTGCCTTGTTACATTAGAGAGCAAAGAAAAGAGAGAGATATATATATGAGAAAGAGAGAAGAGAGAGGATATGTCAATTTACCATTAATCAAATTATATTTAAATAGCCAAATTAGAAATTCAATATTTCCTATTGTTTGCATAAAAAATAAGAGAATGTATTTGTCTGCAGTGTAATAAGATCAAATTCTGTCTTGATCAAAGTTGATAAAATATAGATTAGAGATTGGGTGTACATTAAAAGTGAAATTTTTATGTATAAAATTAATATCAAAGTATATACCATTAGTAATAAATATTGAAGAATAATTACAGTATTTAACAGAATTTGATCTTGGAAGAGATTTATAACAAAAGTAAAAATTATGTAGTTGTTTTTATGTTAACATGTTCGATTTCTCTATAAGTTGTACATATACAAACACGACTGTGAATAATGTCCATTAATGATAGTAGGTCATACAAATAAAAATTTAACAAATCTTATTATGCGAACGATTCAAAGCTAATGACATTTGCTAATGCTGCAAACAGTTAAATTGTCGAAAAGGAAATTGTACTAGTTTTTATTAATATGAAATATAATATCGTTTATTAAAGTTGCGCGTGCATAGAAGCACAAAACTCATAAATGTAAATGTCTCATTGTCATTTTTCAAGGTACTAGGTATTAGGTAATGTTTCACAAATGCAACAATTTATTTATTATCGAACTTAGATTAAATCCTTTGCTAATGTTTTAGAAATCATTTTCTATTGCTTAGTTTTTTTTCTTTTTTTTGCAAGTAGAGATATTATTAAGACATTAAAATGAAGAAACTTTCTCTCAACTAAAGAGAATACAAGAATATATGGCTGGCAGAAATGTATTATTTTATATAGTTAAGATTGCCTGATTTGTTATTTTTAGACGAGTTTTTTTGAAAGAAATTGTGCAGAAAAACTTATATTTTTTTATATTGGTATTAAAAAATAATTTAAACCAAATGAAAATTAAAATATAGTATGAAAATATAGTTTTCTTTTAAATATCCCAATATATAGCATTGCAAAAAAAAAATAAGACTTATGAATCGTTTTTGGTTTAGAATTATTTCAATTATTTATTGCATAAATCTCGAAATTAATGAGTTATTTTTATTTAACAGGTATTTAATTCAGGTTATTTATTTCAGACATATATTTATTACTATAATATGGAAGTAATTAAGATGTGCCTGATGATAGATTATAAGTTACAGAGGGCATTTCGATTACGACTTGTATTAATATTTAAAACAGCCCAATTACAAGATATGATCATAAAGAGAAAAAGAGTATTATCATTTCTTGATTACATCATCAATATGATATAAATCATAAGAAAAGTTACCACTAGCATTATAAATTTTTATTCATTATTTATTTTGTAGCATGCAGCTTTAATTTTATTGTATGCTGTTAGAAATGATATAGGTTTAATTTTTTCATTCAAGATATCATGATATTTATGCACGGAAAATTGAAATATTAATACTAGAATGTCAATAGTGTAAAAATCAAAATATCAATTTCTCAACTTGTTTCAACTTGTGTAATAAAAAGAAAAAAAAAGGTAGTAAAATCGGGTGCCAAATTTTATACTGAAAACGATACTTGTAGCACATTGTACTTTTTCGACAGAGTACTTTGTTTCTGTAAACCTGCTTCATTAATGTAGTTCTACAGTGGTACTACTTATGATGTATAAGGCTATTTAGCGAAATATGTATAAAATTTATAATTTTTTAGAACAAGATTAGACTAATATCGTCTCTGCAAAAATTAAACGTTTGTCGCATTGCTTTATAAAATATATTTTACTGTTTTGACGTGAAATTTATTAAATTTTCGAGTAAACGAGTTAAATTTTCTACAGTTTTCTACGAGTGTATGAGACGATATCTCTATCATCATTGAGAATACCTTTTCATATTTATCCAATTTGTAATACGTTATTATTGATATTGCCTTAATTATATTAATAAGCAGAATGAAAGATATATAAAGTTTCATACCAGAAAAAAATTGTTAATTTCTATTTATATTTATCATTTATTTTATGATAATATGGCATCACTTAAGATTATGTACACTCTATACAATAAAAAAAAATCAGTATTTAAATAAAATATATAATTTAATATACACAGAATAGATTATATTCATCCACCTTGCATTTGCGTAGCAATATATTTGAATAAAAAATGCTATTATTATTATTTCCTTAATAACTTTATGAAATAAATATTCAAATTATTTTATTAAGAATACTCTCGACAGCTTCTACAAAAGAACTACATACTTGTATTGGTTCTGGAGTAATCGTCTTTTCATCTCCTGTTCTGTATTTACCGGTTTGTACTAATATACCTCTGATTCCAGCTACTTGTGCACCAGCTATATCATCTCTCACATCCTGATCACAAATTTACAATATCATATGCAGAATTAGAATTAGATATAAAAAAATATATTATTTAGGATATTACATCTCCAATCATTACAGCCTGTGCTGGATCTACATCTCCTAAAGCTGCTTTAAAAAATTCTATGGTTGGTTTGCCAACAACTTCCGCTTTCACATTGCTGGAATACTCTAAACCTTTGATAAATGCACCAGGACCTAAAGCTAAGCCATCAGGACGCTTATAATAGCGACCTTCATGAATAGCTATGAGTGACGCACCATTCAAAAGCAATCTGAAATTGTCATGTTTTGCATATATAATTTATAAAAAAAATACATGACATTACCTGAATGCTTTATTTAGCTCATCATAGTTGAATTTGCTTGGTGCTAAGCCAACAACCACTGCATTTGGTATATCATCTGTTACTAAATCTTGAAAGTCTTCCATCGCTGCTGGATCAATTAATAACATTGGCTTTAACTGCCGAGAAATAATCAACTTTCTTGCTGCTACTAAAGAACTGAAGATTTCATCCTTTCGTAAATCAAATCCAAGTTTTGTCAGACGCTCATACAAGCAGTTACTTGATTCTTTGGTAGTGTTTGTGACAAATTTAATCGACAAGTTGGCTTGTCGTAGCCTAAATTACAAATTCGTGATAAAAAGCTATATTGATAAAAATTTACATTGATATTAAATAAAAATATAAATAAATAAAATATTACTTGATATGAACTATAAATGTTAACTCATGAACTATAAATGTTAACTCATGAAAAATCTTTTATTACAAGCAATCATTTATTAGTTGAAATTATAATTCATTATTATATTTGAACAAAAAAAATACTTCACGATAGTTAAAGAAACCATCAACAAGAAATCATTAAAAAAACAGACTTTATTATCATATTATTATTACTGTATAAAATAATTTCAATTAACTTTACAAAATCGTACAAAAAAGAGAAAGAAAATAAATTTCCATTTTTTATCCAGCAATTTAAAATTGAGTCGCGCCATTTTTACAGAGATTGCGCTTATTAAAAATCGTATAAATCTTGATGCGTGTACATATGCGTGTTGCATGTATGTATGCATGAATTTATTCCATCTCAATGTGAGTGCGTATACATGACATACACACACACACATATGCATATTTACGCGTCATACACAATTAGACATTAAAAATGTAAACAAACGATACCTGTTTAATGCTTGCACAGCGCCTGGAATAATTGCGTTATCGATATGCAACGTCCCACTGAGGTCAATTAATACTGTTGTAATTTGTTTCGTCATTATTACCGCGATTTTTCGGTAACTAATATTACACATGTGCCACACCTTTATATTCTTTCATAGAACTATCAATAAATAACTAGTTTATCTCGCTCATTTTAATTAAAAATATATTTAATGTTTTTTTTAAATAAAAACAAAATAAAAATCATCGTTAATTGATGCTATAAAAAAAATGACATTAGAGGTTAGATTCTTGGCTATTACGCATGCGTGAGGTTTGTTCTTTCTTCTCCCAATACTGATTGCACATGCGCAAAAAAATAAAGTCATCTGTAAACATCATGTCCGTCCGTCAGCTGACGAAGTACGTTTAATACATTGCGGGATTAATTTAAAGTTGAACGTGCTTGTTCTTTGCTAAAGAAGAAGAAAAAAGTTGAACGTATCATAAAATTATGTCGCGACAAACGAGTAAATATCGAAAATACAATATAATACATAATCTAGCAATATAAAAAATAATATATAATTCTTTTCTCTCATTCAAATATTAACTATTTATCATTTTTAGAATTGTGCACGCCACTTTCCAGGAATCTAACTAGTCACATTAAAATCTGCGAAAACAGTGAGCAATATGTCATCAACTTCTTGCAAAATTTGCTGCCACCGTCTGATTGTAAATCTATTTCAGATGAAATGCGAAAGGTATGTTTGTAACAAGATAAATGGAAGAGCAAATTGATTAACTAAAGTATTTTTTCATGGAAATTTTCAGACTTTTATATTTAATAAGTTTAAAGTAAAACCCAAGCTAAAGAGAAATCGTGGAGGTAAATTTTTATCAGCTAGGAAAAGATTACATATGGAATTGGGCAAAGTTGGTCATAAGAATCAAATAAAATATTCCAATCTTTTGCCTTTAAACCAATTGTGGTTGAGCTATATACGGAAAGTGCTCGGTGTTGAGTCGTTTACTAGCATACCTGAAAATTCCAATAATCCAAACTGGGAGAATGTAAATCAGCAATTGATAAAGGCTGATTTTCATGGTGCTAAAATTTCAATTGAAAAATCAAAATGCCCAACTTTGGTAGGACTTACAGGAATTGTTATACAAGACACAAAAAATACCTTTAGAATTTGCGGCCTGGACAATGTTATTCGAAGTAAGCAGCATGCTGAGTACATTTGCAGATATGTGATTTTTCTATAGAAACATTTTATATATAATGCCTATTATAATATATAATCTGTTTCTTTTTTTCTTTACTATTACATACATATTAATGCAACAAATTTATTTAAAAGTATAGTTTTCCTGTATTATCAATAATATTTTCTTGAATTTTATTTTCAGCAATACCAAAAGATGTAGTGAAAATTCATATTCATTTAGACAATGGTGTAATATTAAAAGCATTTGGACGACAACTCCGTATAAGACCTGTAGAACGAGCAGTTAAAAAATTTAAAAATACAAGAATAGTTCAATTGTAATGTTGTAAATATTTATAATATAACATATTAATAAATTCAATGTCCTCTGTATATATATAATTCGTAAATTAACAAAAACCTTCATAAAGAAACTACTTTTGCAAAGTATTTAAAAGAATGACAAAAAATTGGCCTATAGATTATGTATGTATAAAATTAACGACAATAATTTTTTTTGCTCAAGATTGCTTAATTTCATGCAGATGTTTTAGAATTTATTATTTATTTCCACATATCTTTCATTATTCTTCTGCAGATTATTATTATAGAATATTACAATTACAGGATTGATATATTTACTACTTACATGTTATAATTTTTATATAATATAGCATTTTATATTTATGTTTAATGTCTGTATATGTGTATATCTTTGCATGTATCTATATGGAGAGATGTGCTAAACAATAATGTATTTATATTTTGGAAGTGTCTTTTTCGTTCACTCATATTTCATTAGAACCACAGTAGCCAAATATGAAATTCTGATACAGTGATAATTATTTTCAATTAGTACAACAATTATATTTGTTAATCAATCTACAATTCCATTGGCTAAATTTAGCTCAGAGTGAAATAGTATCAGGTCATTTGACATAACATGATATATACGCAGTTGGATCACTGCAAGATCAACTGTGGTAAAATAAACATTTTGAATAATAGAGATGAATAAAGTGAGATGAAGAAAAAACGTCATATATCTGCTCTTTTACTATTACATACAAATTTTTACTTGGACATAATCCGACTATTTCGTAGCGATATAATTAACTTTCGCTTCGTATTTTAATTAAAATAAAAAGATTATATATAAACCATTATATCTTAAAATGTAACATAAACGAGATATTACTAAACGATATTAATTTACGCATTAGGGCAACTTCAGGAATGTTAAAGGTAAGACGTATTATAAAATTAATCTGTTTTTTTTTTCTTCGTTTCCTGCCATGTCTCATGTATTGATCTTGATGCATCAATGTAGCATTAACTTTATACACGCAACATAAATATTTTAAAAAACATGAGTGTATAACAAAGATACAACATGGCTTTGTCATTTTCTAGAAGTATTGCATTCTAATTTTATCTTAATACTTGCACAATTTAGGCATAGTTGTAACAAGCTATATAATGATTAACGATTAATAATTTCAAATAAGATACTATGCACACATACTACATGAAGTCGAAACGAGTAGAAAATATTACTAAAATGTATGTACGACATGATAGAGACGATCTCGTGAGTGTATTATACTTTGTTCCAATTCTTAAATATCTTTATATTTCCAACTCTAAATCATAACTGCCTTCACTTTCATAGTGAATAACAAAAGGTCGAAAGCATGATACATACGAAGATCGGACGAAAACTCAAACTACTTTATATATATATTTCAATACATTAATAAGACAATAAGATCATGCCATCAATTTCAGTATCTATAATTATTTGTTTCTGTGTCATTTGTTTACGCAAATTAAACTAACTGCGAACATGTACTTCTGTTCAAGCAAATATACACACAAGTAGATCTAGAACGATGTTTATGTACTATAGACGCCAACATATTCTGAAATGTCTACAGATTTTCTCCGTTTTTTGAAGGATCTCGTCTCGTTACAATATTGATATACATGATCTACCCAATCTAAAAGATATTCTTGTTACATTTCAATTTTGAAGACATTTTTTTTCATCATGATTTATCACACGCTACAACTTCTATGTTTCAACATATGTTTCTTACAATGAGTTGTTACAGATTTCTAAGATAAAAAAGAAAGAAGAGAGTAACTTTCAAAACTTCTCAACACAGATGAAAATATTTGAGATAAATTGAAAAAAGATTTTACTTAATAAAGAGCACTGTGTAATTTATTACATTAGTTATGCAAATTGTGATTTAAAGACTACAGATGATTTTGCTTCATCTAGAATTCGATATCAACGAAAAAAGTTTACTTCTTATTAATAGCATTAAAAAAAAGGCACATAGATGCACGTATATTTGTGCGAGCAAAGAGAACTGTAAAATTATATTTTGCTTATACATACATATAATGTATCTTTTTATACTGACTGTGCAACAATAATTAAATTCAATATAAAAATCTCATCACATTGAAAAAAATCATTTTCCCTCCTTTTATTTTTTTAAATAATACTTTTTTTTCAAGATATCTGGTTTAAATAACAATTTGAATCATGAAATATGATAATTTTGCTTCCTTAACGTCTCTCTTACAAATAACAATAATTCACATTTAGATAGCGTGTGATAGCCTTCTCCTATTCATTTCGTTATTATTTGTTACATTATTTGTAATCATGATCTCTAAACGTGGCAATTTCTTCATGTTTCTAATGATATTATAATTCGTATTCGCGCTTTATTGATACGATATATTAATAAGCTAACCAAACGATATATATATATATATAGATATATATATCTCATTCTACCTAAACTTTATAGAAAAGTAGACTTTGTTGATCTGTCCTGTTAAATGTATTTCACATACCGTAACCTTGATAGGCTGCGGTGGACGCGTACACTTGCGCGGGTGCACCGTATACGTTTTGAGGAGCATAACCGGGTGCCATCATTCCAGGCCCTGCAGTCAACATTAGTTGAGGTTCCGCTGTGGCCATGAATATCATATGCAATGGGAAAAAATGGAGAAAAATATATTAATGTAGGAAGCAGTATATATACGCGATATTTATTAGATAATTGCATGATTACTTACGCATAATCATAGGCTTATGTTCCTGATGATCAGTTTCTTCGATGCGTCGGCTTTCAGCCTCTTCTAATTTATCGACCTACATCCAATATAGTGATTATTATATATCAATATATCAATGTATGTTGCACGACATAAAGAGTTGTATAAATATTTTATAAATATTTTTTTGTATTTTATAAATATTTTATAAATATTTAATTGTATAAATATTTTTGTTTATACCTTGGTGATATATTCCCGTGCAACTTGTATAAGATACGGCATCGCGAAATGTAAAATACGATGTCTCCATGCGAGTTCCAAGATGACATCCGGATGAAGTAGATCGTAGCAATGAAATAGGCATGCTGCAAAGCAGTCCTTGGAACCTCTCTCCAAGAACCATTCGAGCAATTCCTCGGCGACTTCTGGATTCCGAGATTCCGCTGCGTATTCCATAGCATCCCTGTTAATTAAATTAGCAATTAAAAGAGATCTACATATGTACATATCGTAAAGATATTCTCCAACGAATAATTGTGTAACGTTACCTGAAGAGGCGATCCTTCTTGCAAAGTTCTACAGACTGCTTCCATCTATTATTTCCCTTGTACAAATATGCAGCGATTCTCCTGAACTCGATCAATTCATGTTTTTCGAGCTGCTGTGCTAACGCGATATTATCAAAATTATCGAATGCGTCGATCGACGTTCGGAGACCCTGATAATCTTCTTCGTCAATCAGCAAGCCATTTAACGCTTCGTTAATAGCTTTGTTGTTGAGAGCTTGAACCGATCTCAAGTATGGTTTTACTAGTTGTAAATGGCCGGTTCTCGTAAAGTACGCCACTGATCTAGTATGATCCATACGTGGAGCGAGTACAAGAAGAATATCGTTTAGAAGAAGGGGTTTATATTCCACGTAAAATTGTATAGCCTTATAGTAGAGTTCGACGTTTGCGACTTTAGTAATTACGTCTTTGAAATGACCTTCCCGCCAAGCTTCCGTAGGATGTTGCATCATCGCGAGAACCGCATTGTCGTATTCCTCATACTTGTCATACAAAAACACTAGCTCAGCCCACAGATGTGCTTGTTCTGCCGCACGTAGCACCTGAAATAAATAAATCGTTTTTTTTTTAATTTTAAACAATTAGCGAATCTCCTATTCGCAACCGATTTGAAACGAAACTTACCTTCGGTATATTGACGCGCGACCAGAACAGTTCTAAGTGTTCTCTCATTCGTTGAGGTTTGTATTTACTATAGAGAATAGCCAGCTCGGTAAACATTCCCATATGAGCTCGCTCGAGTCCTAAAGCAGCCTCGAGAAGATTAATGAGTTCTTCAAAGTGTCCACGATCCTGATAATAATTGATCAAATCTTCAAGCTCATCCGCATGTACGACTATGTGCAGGCCGCACATTTGGGCTAAACGAAATTCACCGCTGTCCACGCAAGCGAAACAAACTTCCTTCCAAGTGCGCGTCGAGTTGGCTTTACGCGCGCTATCGACAGCGCCTTGAAATTCCTTGAGATGAACGAGCGTTATTGCCAGTCGCGCAAAGTTCGATACATTGTTGTAGAGGAGCTTCGCGGCATCATACATCTTATCATCGAAGCATCTATCGCCGATCTAAGAAAAGAAAGAATAGATTTAATAAAAATCCTTCAAAAGTTACTTTCATGAATACGAATGATTTTTTTACCTTCTGTATATCGGCATGATTCGGACCAGATATAAATTCTTCGAGATCCGCGAGTCTATTGGTTCGTGCGTACGCATATATCAGTTCGCTCTCGATGAAGGACTCGCGTGCCTTTTTACGAGCCATTTGGAGGTAGCGGACCAAGTCTTCCCAATGCGAAGTTCGATGGGCGGTTTCGACTACGTCTACATACGCTGACGGGTCATCTGCTTTAATAAAACTGTCGATCGCTTCCTTGACCAAACCCTGCTGTAATTGAGCCCTGGCGAGTTGTGACCATACTGGCGACTCGTTGCATCTACAAAGCATAAAACAATTTGTTTATATGTATCGTACAAATATTAAGAGGATATGTACACATGCACATGTACACGCATTTTGCCTACCTTTCTGCAAATTCATAAGCTCTATCCAAGTTGCCGACCTGCTCAATTAGAACCTGGATAGCCGACGTGTTAACATCAAACTTTTTAAAGATAGCGAATGCTTCCTCGTAAAGCTCATTGTTAATAGCAATATTTGCGATATCTGGGGCATCGTAATTATCCAAACGATTAATATATTCCATAACACGTGTACGATCGGCTTTGATGGCCGTTAATATTAAAAGATTCTGCAAGTTACGATGATCGCTGAACACACTGCTGTCCAGCACTATCTTCTCAAGAAGTTCGATTAGCTCGTTAGGCAAATCAGCCGTCATGAAAGCTTTGACAGTAACCGATATATCTTCGGGATCTTGCGTCTCGGACAACGCCGTTTGAACAACTTGGTCGATTAACGGTCGCTTGTACGGGTTGCTCTCTAAAAGCACTTCCGCCCAGAGATCGGGATCTCTGCGTCTCACTAGGTATCTCGCCTCGCTCTTGAACAGACTATTCTCATTACACACGCTTATCAGCTCGCGATCACATTGACCGCGCTCGTAAGCGATGCAAGCCAAATGGGGGTCGCGTTTCTCGCAATACTTGCCAACAACTCTGCTGTCATAAAATTGATTCTCTTTGAGAAATCTTTCAGGATTATTATTGCTGTCGATGTAAATCTTGGCCAATGCATTGTGCGTAGCAGGCTCTACGCAGCCCTCATGAACGCGAGATTCCAACCACGGTAGCAAGAGCTTCAACCGATTTCTCTTCTCGACTTCCTCGACCAATTCGTCAGTCGAGAATTGTCCGCGCACTACCAGTATCAAGTTCTTAATGATATCTTCCGAGCAGTCAACGTCCAACAAACCGCCCACGACTACAGGTAAACGCGACGGATTAACTTTCTGGACGTATATTTCGATATATTTTTGCAAATTATTGCGATAGAGATAGAGAACAAGGTCGTGGACAAAATCGAATCGGTCGCATACGATTATCAAAGGCAATTGATCGGATAGTTTCGCTTCCTTTAGGAAATTCTTGACGCGTTCTGGATTGTAGCAATTGCTCTCCCGACATATACGCTCTACTTCTTTGATCTGACCAGTCTTGCACGCCGCCTGGATATACTTGAAATGCACTTCTTGATCTTGGCTAAAGTTTACGATGGAGCCCAAAAAGTAAAACAGACCTTCATAAGACTTGAAACTCTCGAATAGATCTATCAGTGCCTTAGTCGTCAATTGCTCATGATACTTGGTCGCGATTTGTATGCAGATTTGCAAATTCTGTCTTATATTAGCCGTCATCATAGCTTTCAGGCACTCGAGAGAATCTTCTACGGACAAAGTTCCGAAGAAACCTACGAGCCAATCAGGAGAGAGCAAGTGCGTATGCACTACCGCTCTTTTAATATCATATAAATCGGTATAGTGCTCGAGCGCACGTTGCAACAAGCCAGCTTTCTCGCACAATTGCGCGACATGAGCTCGGTCATAGTGAGTGAACATCTGATTGCCTAATATAGCATCAGCGACTTGCGGGGCGGACATTAAGTTCATTTCTAAAAGACGGGTCTGTAAAGCACCCTCGCTCGGCCGATTGTTCTTGAGCGCATCCAGCAGGAACGCTGTACACTGCTGCACCATATTTTGTTCCATAAATATATCGACGATTTGATTGATGTCAGCCAATGGTTCATCATCTTGGACCAACATCTGCGCGAACGCTACACCTTGATCAGGATTAATCCTCATGACATTTCGCAAGAGAAATATATAGTCGGGTGTATACGAGACTTTTTTGGCGTAGAGGACGATCTTTTGAAATTGACCGGTCTCCGCGAAGCATTGGATAACTTTGTTGGGAACGTTGGCTCTCAAATAAACGCTAAGCGCTAATGTAGGATCCGCTTGTTTTACTAAATCTCCCAGTTCTTCGCTGCATTCTAGCTTATCTTCCTTCAACCACTTCTCCAGCAGTTGTTTACGGTTCTGAACTAGGACCGGACGACATAGTTCCAACGACTCGTACTTGTTCAGTTGTCCCTGATCTAAAAGAATGCCGAAATATTGTAAAAGAGGAGATGTTTGACCCTGAGTAGTGGGAACCTGTTGAAATCGTTGAATAGTCGCGGGTGTTCGAAGTATCCCTTTAGGAGCATTAGCCGCAACTTTCGCCGCCTCTGCGTACTGGCCATTTTGGAAAAGCATATTGAATTTCCTCACAAACAAATCCTCAGCTCCCGATAAGTTGTTTCTCACGGCCATTCTTAACGCCAATTCCGAATTTTGCAACACTCCGTTGATATAAGGGATTATGTTTTCTTCGTCCACGGAAACTGATAGGACTTGACCTTTTCGATTTACTCCTATTATACCACCGGAGGCCTCGTGTGGGGCAGTGACGAAGATAGTCTCTCCCGAGATACGATTCATAAATATACAGGTCGCCGATTCGATATCGTACATATGTATATAACCATATTTCGTGATTAAATATATGACGTCATATTTAGAGCTAACTTGCATAGCGACGGGGAAATCATTTCCAGCCTCAGGAGGAAAAAATACATCTACCGCTTTCTTCGGAAACGGATGGTTACCAGCGGGCGGTTGACCTACTTCGATGATATGAAGTTTCGCTCCTTGGACCGTCCTAACGGCGAAACAAAACAGATTGCTGGGTTCTGCGTTTCCTTCCATCTTAAATTGAGCGAAGGAGGCAGCATGCCCTTCGATTGGTTGCGAACATTTTCGTTCCACCGAATAAAGTTGCATAGCGCCGACTACTCTGTTATGCTGCGCCGAAATACCGATCAATAAAAGCCACGTTTGTTTTGGATCTGTTCTGTAATTGATAATCTGGCATCCGTTTAACGACGAATGACGTTCAAACATCTTATTCGGCGTCGAATCGCCTTCCATGGACCAATGATACACTGCAGTCTCCGTTACTAGTGCCAGCGTGTTTAACGATATCCATTTCCAGAACACCACATCCTCCGTCATTGTATGAGCTTTCATTTTTGACTTCATTTCAATATTGAAAATCTGAAGTGTCTTCATAGCTAATCAAACAAAAACACATATTTCTATTTTGATAAGTTTTTTACACATTTTCTGTCTTTTAATATTTTTATTGCTATAGAAAGAATTAAAATTCTATATCAAGAATTGTTTTCAAAAAAGAAAATCATACAAATTCATACATTTCAGATTACTGAAAGAAAATTAATCTCCATAAGTTTTCACACTGCTGAATGATCCTTCTTAAATTATCAACCTTTATTCCTACCTTTCAGAGCGATGACTTTACTAGCTGGATTCATAATTGCAGAGTCAGCAGATATTGGTCTTCTGATAGGATTGGCGGAATCGTTCATGTCGATAATGACCACCTGGGCAGTGTCACCAACCTTTTCTCTAACGCAAATGAATTTATCAGATTCCATAGTAAGTGTATTAAAGCTGACATTACTGGCATTAATTCCAACAGCTGTAAGCTATAAAAATAAGAAACAACAGATAAATAATGCTTCTTTTTTCATATTCTATCAACTCCTACAATCATTTCTGTACACAATAAAATATATATATCAAATATATATAATCAAATATATATATATTATAAATCAAACATATAATTTTTATTTTTTATATATATTTTTTTATATTTATATAATTATTAATAATATTTTTATTCTCTGAAAAAGAACTTTATTATCAAGCTTTTTATTTTATTAATAATGTATTTTTTTACATGTAACTATCTAAAAACCATTAAGATACCTACTAGAAGTAGTATATATAACTTTTCTTCTCTACTAATAAATGAGTCATATTATATCCTGATTACATAAATATGCTATTACTAATATAACTAGAAAATTGCAATAAAATTACCTATGAAGCTAATTTTATAATGTCTTAACAATATTATAATATTATTATAATAACTATATATATAATTAAATACAAATTTACAAAAAAATATTACATATATAATATTGATTAAAAGTAGAGTACAAGATTTATATTCTAAAAAATTGTATTTGAGAAAAATTTATCAGACGCACGAGTGCTCGTATCGAAAATCGTGGACGAGAAAAGGAATATTTGATAAGAAAAGAATGTGAAGTTTCGGTAAAAGCGGAAGCAAGGGGCGTATGCGCCGATAGATGCACGATTATCTTGGACCCATCATTCGCTGATGAAAATTAAAGACAAGTACGTAACTCGATTTTCTCGCTTTATCCGTGATGCACGTCAATTGAGCGTGTATCGGGGATGATTAACCTGTGCCACGAAATTCGCCGTGCGAGCGCAGCTGCGAATGCACGAGCCATTTAACGAGCCGAGTAATGTCATTGAATCATACGCGAGGTGCGCGAGGTCATCGGAACTGTCAAAGTAACGTCAATCGCGAGAGATTGCACTTCCGTTGGAAGAGGACACGCGAGCGAGCTCGCGTTCGAAACTTCGGGGAAGAGGAAGTCGGGCTCGAGAAAATGTCCGAGAATGGAAAAAAAAGGGGGACTGAAGGTGCGAGGGACCCTAGAATCCTTCCTCGTCCTTAGAGGATGCACCTCAGGGGGGAAATACGGATGACGTACCTGAAGGTGTTCTTGGAACCTTATGGGTAGTAGCTGCGTCATTTTTGCCGAAATATATTCGAGAAAAAATGTCCAAGGGTGAGGGATCTCTCAGCCGCTGTCTTCCTCGACGGATCGATCTGCCGTACAGCCTCCGCGAATCTCCCTGCGATCTACTTGCGACCTATTCCCGCTTATCGTGCGCCTTTTATCCCCGAATGCTCGTCGGCATCAATCATTAAAAGCGCAAAACCAACTGACTGGAGAGCGAATGTTACTCGCCGCTGACACCCATCATGGCCGCCAACGCCGCCTCTCTATCTCGAAATAGTTCCCGCGTATGAGAATTTCTCGGCGACTCCTCGTGGCTCGGCCGCCCCTCGCGTCGCGCAAGTCGCGTTAGAAATGTATATCGGCGATTAATTATCAGTCAATACCGGTATCCTTCCTCTCCCTCGGCCATTAGCGTGGGACAATTTCGATCGTGTCGACGCCGAACTCGACGAGGGCCACGACACTAGCGGAAGAATACAGGCGCGATTTGACACGATTGGATTCAGTGGTAAATCTCGCGCATCACCTCCCCTCTTCCTCCTCCATTCCCCTACTTTTCCCTCTGCGCCGCTACGAATGAGTGCGGCGAACACGTTCCATGTTACAAGAGATTAGAAAAATTTCTTTCTCCTTTCCTCCGATATTACGTTTTTCTCTGTACAATATCTTAGAGGTTATCGTCTTCCGTGAAATTTTTTGTAATTTAATTTACTGTTTACAATTAAAGACGCAAAAGATAATTTTAAGAGGACAGACATGTGCAAAAGTTTTAATTTAAAATATGCTTTATTCCCCAGCAGTAGTATTAATCTTATTTGTACATTTTATACGATATTTTGTTGTTAACATTTATACCACTGCCACAGAATGTAGCATGTTTTTTTTGGGTGAGAATAATAAAAAAAGAGGCATTTTAGTCGAACAGGCCAAAGCCCATGTCATCGTCTTCCGACTCAGATTCTTCTTTAGCAGGCTTCTTTTCTTCTGTTGAAATAAAAATTATTTATATTAGTGGCATTATAAAGTAAATATATTAGTACTATTATTTGTATTAATACAAATACTAATATTAAAGCATTTCTAAAATTAGAGCAGAAATGAATATGTACCTTTCTTTTCTTCAACTGGAGCTGCCGCACCACTGGCAGGAGCTGCAGCGGCACCCGCAGCAGCTGCTCCACCAACTGGCATGGACGATAATTTTTCCCTGCCTAAAATCAATTATATTTATTTTGTTTTACAAAAATAACAAGTTTTTTTTTAAATAGCATTGCAAAAAATTTCGACATACCTTTGGCGACCAGTTCATCGATACTCTTTCCATTCAATTCTGATATAACTTTTTTCAGTTTTTCAGCATCTGTTTCGATTCCGACAGATGATAAAATCTTTTCAATGTCATTTTGGCTTGGCGAGGCTTTGCCTCCCAAAACAGCCAACATATAAGCGGCCACGTAACGCATTCTGCAAAATATAAATATTTCTATTAAGATACTAACAGAAAACTAACTTGTATATCATATTATTCTAAATGTTAATTAAGTTCAGTAGAAAATATACCATCACAATCATTCAGTCGAAAGATGGTGAAATATAAAAAGAGAATCATCATAAAAAAATTCTAAGTGTGTATCTAATATTACCAAATGTTGCAATATACTTCTTTATATAAAGTAGCATTCGCGCAAAGCGTGACAATTGATATATTTCGTATTTTATTTATAAAGATACATGTGTATACATCTATAACATATATTTTTATTCAACAGTATAACCTATTTGCATTCGGCGTAAATATGAAAATGAAAGTTCGAATTTTCTCCCATCAATATATATCATTTTTCTTCAAAAAAATATAAAGAAAGAAAAGTAAAAAACAACAAGATTAGATGTTATTTAGCATATGTTTATACGCGCTATTTTCGCACGAATGCAACGCAATTGAAGGTATCCAACGATACGACAAATTATAAAATGCGATCGAACAAGTACGTCAATCATTTCTATTCATGAATGTTCGAATAATTCGGAGCAGAAAATATTTTTTTATATAAACTTGTGAATTTATCAAAGACATACCTTTAAGTCTTGCGACACGAAACGTGGATCTCGCTGAGCAATACACAACGTGCGTGAGATAGCACCGGAAGAACAGCGCGAGAAAGTGCAAGGAATCGGGAAAAATTAGTATGAAGAAGGGTACACTTCACCTGATGTTGCAGGGAGCGTCCCGTTTGACCACGTTGCGATTGACCACAGCCAATTATATCGACCTGTGACTAGGATAACCAGCAACGATTAACCAATCAGAAAGTCCTATTTTGAATTGGCCAATTGGCGACGTGGTCAATCGGGTGCCACCCATATTGCAAACTGGCTTCAACTGGCGAGCAGCTTCTGATTGGACGAAAGGCACGAAAATTTTCTTGTTATTTTATCACTATGCAGTGCATGCGCAAAGAATGGCAAACATCTAGTAACACTGCGCGTCTATAAATTTTATATTTCATGACCGCTGATTTCTCTCGGGGACCTCGGAGTGTCTCTTGTGTCGTTCTTTCGCTGTCAGCTTGTGCACGTGGTAATCGAGCTCGTCGATAAGCTTGATGATCACGTGCATTTTTATACAATTCATACATATTGGGAAATATAGATATATTTTAATTATAAGATATATTAAAATACATATTTTATTTATTGAAAACTTACATTTTATATTATAAGGCGAATTGACTTATTAAAAGTATGTATATAATCGAAAAGTTTAATATTTTAAAGAATATTTTTTTTTTTAATTTAAAGAATATTTTTTCTATTCAAATGAGAAAAATAATTAATGTATTCGTCCATACACATTTCTTTTTTTCTTTGGATTTTTCTTTTTATTTATCATTATTAATATATTTCATATTTTTTTACACTTTCAGGGAACCTCGTCTTCACATATTATGTTTTTCTTTTTTTGCGGAACTTTTTCTAGGTCAAATTTATAACAATTATAGCATTGTACATAATATCTTGTAATAGTGTCATTTACTGTAGGATATCATATTTTGTTTTAATTTTAATTATATATTCTGATTAAAATTATAAACATGGTAAGCATAAAGTTTATAATAATTATATGTATGAAAAGCCATTACAGGCAATGTATTGAGAATTTATTGTTGAAATTATATACAAAAAAAACTTAAAATGTAAAAAATAGTACTCTACATAAGTAGAAAGATTTATCACAATTTCTTTCAGATATTTTTCATATTATGTGGAACTGTAATGGAATTTATAATAAAATCTTTCAAGATATGTATTTCAGCAGTGAATTTTAACATTGTGTCTCTGTTTCTCCTACATACGCATATACACACACGCACGCACGAAGAAAATAAAACTTGCATATATTTTTAATCAGGTAGAAAATTATGTGTATTTGTCTTAATATCTTATATACAATATTACAAAGATAGATTATTAATCATCAATATCCTAACTACTTTAATGCTAAACAATGTTCACCTCTAATGCCATTATAGTTTATTGATCATTTTTAATATTTAATGTGTAATTGTTTAAAAATATTTGTAACTATTAAATTAATATATTCTAAATTGGTATTAAACCAAATGTCAAATAAATGCACACGTAACATTCAAATATCATTGTAATAATTGCATTTTTTTTTAAGTATTTTTTTTATAAATTATATACGAAAATGTAACAAAAAATGCAATATGTAAATTCTACAGAAACTAATATTATTGAAATGAAATGTATGTTGTAACAGACTTAAAAATAAGTAAAAATATTCCATAAGTAAAAACAATATAGTCAGAAAGATATATTGAACTACAAGAAAATATTAAGTCTATACTATTCCATGTTGAATAGATAATGCTGAATGCAAAAATTAAATAGCATTATAGATTTTTTGAACACTGTTAATGCATCAGTTATGAAGAGAATACATACATACATAAAATATATATAAGTCAATGAATTTAAAAGAGACTATCTAAACAATTGCATTATAATCATATCTGTAAATGTGATATTATAGTACTATAATTTAACTTGAATTTTTCAAGACAAATTCACTGCCCTTTTCAATATAATCATTTCAGTTATGTACATAAATGTATCATATTTGTTCATTCATTATTTATTAGCTTACATGAACAAAAAATTTTGGATTAAGTAGTAAATAACTATACTTTTTAGTTTAATACTTTTTTAAATATGTATAAAGAGTACAATTATACAAAACATTACTTAAAATATATTAGTTTAATATTTTATCAATGAATATATCTATAAGTTTACTAGAACAAAAATTTTGACATAATATCGAGATAGATAAACACATGCATTAACAGTATTCAAAATAAATGTAATGTTCAATTCCCTTGAATAGTTTATCTCTTATTTGCGAAAATATAATCTACTAATTCTTACTCTAGTTTATATGTACAGGTTTATTTTATTGTCATTATCTCTGTGTATGTATAGATTTCTAGTCTTCTGTAAAATTTAATTTATCCTCTTCATCGAATATCGATCCATCATTAGACAATTCGTGTTCCTCGTTCATCAAAATATACTTGGCTTGTGCATTACAATCACGTTCTTTTTTATGCGACTTTTTAATGGAAATCGTATGCAACAGCTTGATGAAATTCGTCGCATTTAAATCATTTGGAGGTGTTGTATTCAGTTCTAATTTTTTCACGGTTTTTGAATCAATATTGTTTCTTACTTGGCTCGTAGATGGTTGAGGATCGTCGTAAATAATTTCTTCATAGCATTTGTTCTTTTCTTCTTCATTACTGCACATTCCCGTTTTGGCACAATCATTGTCCATATGTTTTAAGGACATATTTTGTTTCAACTTATTCATACTTGTAATATTAACACTTTCATTTTCTTCAGTATGAGAGTTTTCCTTCCACAAAACTGGTCTCTTGCATACACTGCGACTATGCTTATCTTTCTTATGTGATTTTTTAATAGAATCTATATTAGAAAGCAGTTCTGTCGTCGACATATTTATCGGAGTTGATCTACCATTTTCGTCTTTAGAATCTGCAACATCCACATCTGGTCCATCACTTGAAGTAGATGCGTCAGTCTCAATTTTTTTAATACATGTAAGATCTTTGCTTTCTCTCGATTTTTTCAAACAACGTGCGATTGGCGTCATACATCTAGAACAATCAATTTCCTTTGATATATTTTCTGCAGATTTATCTTCTTCCTGTAATATTTCATCTGCACAAACATGATGATTTATAACTGACTGGTTTGTCGTTATTTTTCTATGTGTGGTAGGAGTACAGATTTTAAATTCATCATTTGTATCGTTCTGTCCTAAAGATTTAGAAGAATATAACAATTTGCGTGCACCGCTTTCAAAGGACACATTTATCGATTTTTTCTTCTTTTTAGGTGACATGTCAAGAAATTCATTTAACTCAAGTGATTCATTTCCATGTGAAGTTTTGCTAGTATTTTTTTCTTCATATTTATTATCTAGTAATGAATTGTCATATTTTTTACGATATTCATGATGATATTTATGGCACTTAGCGAGACCGGAAATTCTTTTGCTGTATTTGTCTTTTTTGTGTGACTTTTTAACCGATTTAAATTCAGGTAATAAGAGTCTACTTGAATTTATGTTTTCAGGTGTGCTCGGTCGATCGGCATTCTGCGAACTTAAGGCACAAGTTTCAACAACTGCTTCAACATCTTCGCATTGAATATCATTAGAAGTATCTTGAACTGATACTTCAAGTTGTGCTGTTTCTATCTTTTGGTAAAGAGTCTTGGCTTTTAATGAAGTTTTCCTATTTTCATGTTTAATTTTCTTATGCGATTTTTTAATAGATTCTGTTAATAAATGTTCTATAATATTTATGTTATTTTCAGGTGTAGCTATTCCAGAATCTTGAGGAATAGTTGAATCAGGTTTTGGAGATACTGCTCTGTTCTTATCCATCATGTTGGCATTACAAGTACTTAATTCTTTTTGCGAGGATGGTCGACATGTATTTTTATCACAGATGTTTTCCATGGAATGATCCTTTTTATCGTCATAATTTGTGAAATGTGTATTGTCCCTATGTTGTATGTCCTGTATTTTATCATTTTTCACTTTATCCAATCGGTTTCCCAAAAGATTCTTTTTTCTCAATTTGGCTTTTCGCTGTGTACCGTGCTTAAAAACTGATTCAGTCTCAGAAAGTTCATCATCTGAATAATAAATAAGCGCTTTTTTCACACTTTTGTTTTTCTTCGGAGATTCTTTTATGGAAGCCCTACTACAACTAGCAATTGCGGATGTGTCCATTGCTATTGATTCCAAACTTGTATATGTATCTTCGTTTTGGGCAGAAATATTTTTCTGTTGTGTAAACAATCGTTCTTCATGACCATACAGCTTTTCCTGTAAGAATAAAAATGTTAATGTATCAGTTATAAATTTGCAATGCCTCAAAATTGATAGAAACATGAATTATTTATGAAAAAAATTTGGAATTAATTTTTCTCATAAATAATATTTAAATTGATAATTTAAATAAAAATTTTTTTTTCCATATATTTTCTAGTATTTTCTAAAGTGCAATATAACAATTCAAATAATTAAGATTATTGTTGATATTGAAATTTGGAAAATATTAGGAAGGAAAGCAATATATCTAAAAATATATGTAAAAATATTAATTCAAAAAGACCTTTTCAATAGCTCAAATAAATAATAAATAATTATTTTATTTTTGCTAATAAGAACAGGTAGTTATATTTCTATGAATTACAAAGTTACATATGCTGTTCATGATATATAATTAAAGAATAATAATTGAAAAATATATACTATTACGTATATGTAATTATAAAAGTATACATCCTGAAATGTGCCTAATATATTAATTTCTGAGGAAATTGTGAAATATTTACATTTATCTAATTTCAAGGTGATAATTAAATGTATGAAATTACATATATTCATACAAAATAGTTTAAAAACAAAGAAATGCAAAGAAAAATAAAACTATTGCATGAACCATATAATACCTTTTTATGACTTTTCTTGATAGCACTCATACTCTCTGGAATTAAATGCATCATATTGTCTGGTGTATGTGATCTATTGTGTGCATCCTGATTCAATTCTTGAGACAAATTCCTGGGTGTACTTGCAACTATAATACAGCCGAGTGCTCTTGATTTATTCTTCTGATTGAAGGATTGTAAATCAGGTGTTTGTGATGCACGTACAATGTTATCAATTTTTTCTCTGAGATTGCTTCGAAGCGACGATGTAGAGCAGGATGATCCTGACTCATCTGTTTCTCTTGTATTAATTCTACTATTGTTGGATATTTTGACAATTTTTCGATTTTGCTGAGGCGTTTGATTTTGGTTTTCATCAATTGATTCCAAAGATGCAACCAACATGCTACTAGCGACAGAATCATTTGAACTTGAATCGAGTCTCAAGGATTTGTCTAACATGGGTGATGATGCGTCAGTCATTGAATCAATAGGAGAACTTGTATTAAAATTATACTTCTGTGGACTTGGAGACGAATCAAAATTCAATGATTTTTTTATATTCATGTTTCTGTGATAAAACGAATCACGACTGAAACTAAGTGCTCTCATTATTTTAGCCGATCTTGATAAGTCTCGCAATGATTTACTTGCATCGAAAGAATCATTGTCTAAAGGTGAATTTGAATTTTTAAATAAATTATCCTTCCTTGGGCTAATAATATCAAAGTTCAAGGATCTATTCATTCTGTGGTGAAATAAACTTGTACTTCTTAATGGAACTGATTTATTTAGCACTCTGGATCTAAATCGTCGCTTCAGAAAGAATCTACTTTTATCCAATGAATTCACATTTATAAATAATTTATGTTCCGATTCTGGATTCAAATTGTTATCTTTGTTGTCGCTATTCATTGTTTTTGCTAATAACTGATTCTCCAACATGATTATTTATATCCTTCAGCATATATATAATGTATTTATGTGTAAAGACACACACATATGTATATTCATATAAATATAAATGTATAATTATATAAATATATTATGATATATAATTATATCATGTGGACAATTATTGTGATAATCTCTTCATAAAGATTGTATATGCGTAGTCCTTTTTTCGTAAAGATTTCTGTAATAAAATAAGATATTTATAAATATATATAATATATTATATATATATATATATATATATATATATATATTTATTAAAAGGTAATGCATAAATTATATTTGCTGTCTGTTTATAATTATATGATCTAAACAACTTTAGATTAAAAATTTCAATATTTTTATATAATTAAAAAAATCTAAATTCTTGTGTCATTACAATAGTACTATTATTATAACATATGTATGTTTATTATTTTGTAAAATTTTCAATAGATAGTGCTTGAAAAATTTTGGTAGAATACAATTCACATATATACCAAAAATTAGCATATTTGCGAGTATGTGCGCATAGCATCAAATTGAAAGAGAAGGATAAAAAGCTAAAAAAAAGAGAGAAAAAGAAGGGAGACAAAGAAAGAGAGACATGTAAATCGGAATAATACTCGACTATAAATAGAATATTGTAAAAGGTACGTCATATATTCAAAAATTTTGCTTACGATTTTGACCGCATGGGTGAAATCGGCTCTTCATCATCAATGGCTGCAAGGAAATAAACTCCAGTTAACGAATCACTCTCACATAAATTACTCAAACGAGCATCCTCGTCTTTCCACTCAACTGTTGCGTTTTATGAAACTTCAATATCAAAGTATACAACGAAATCCTCTCGCAATTAGGTACAAAGATACACAAGAAATTAATTAAAACTGATCACAAAATCACACGTAAGTCGGCTTTTTCCTATACGATTTTACATGATGTGATCCTTGCATATATCCTGTAGAATAGTAGCGACTAGGACAGATCTTGCGCATGCGCAATAGGAAGTGGTATATAAGAGCCAATCAAGAATTACAAATGCTTGGGAAACTTCGATTGACCAATCAAATTAAAGAAGCTGTACATTCTAATGATGGCCGTGTTCCGAATGTACTACCAGTGCTGAAAATCTATAGTATATGTACCGTAAACTATAGATTTTTAGTACTGACAGTAAACTCGGAACACGCGTGATAAGCGAGTCATATCTCGAAACAAATCTACACTGCGTGACAACGATTCGTTTCGAGGCCCTTCTCTCGCGGGGCAAGGGGAGCGTAGAAGTGACCAATCAGCTGACAGCGTGGCAGTGGCTGATTGGTTAGAGGCTACGCTCCCCTTGCCTCGCGAGAGAGACCATGGAACGAATCGTTGTCGCGGAGTGTACATAAGTCCCGATCATAGTCGAGTATTCTCTTCATACTTGACTGTGATTGGTCAATCTCTTAAGCCTTAAGAGATTGACCAATCACAATCAAATATGAAAAGAATCGACTGTGATTGATCAAGTTCTTACACCTTAAATCTCCTTGAAATCTCATTGTAGACGACGCATAAGGATGAAGGAAATAAAATTTCTTTGATTAATTGATTAATTAACCTCAATTCTTCCTCAAGGAAAAAATATTCACATTTCTGATGACATTTTCGAATGGATTGATCAAAGGTGTTTATGGCCCGTTTCTACCAACGCCGCTTAACTTTAATCTTAGCTTAACTCATTCTTTGTCTCCTTTTAACTGTTCTTTTAGAAAGAGACAAAGAATGAGTTAAGCTAAGATTAAAGTTAAGCGGCGTTGGTAGAAACGGGCCTATGACAATTAGGCCCGGTTCCACAATCCAGTTAATCCGAGTTTAAGTAGTGAATGGACCAATCAGGACCCAGTTTAACGTATTAAACTCCGATTAACTCGAGTTGTGGAACCGGGCCTTAATGCTTGATTGTGATTGGTCAATTCCTTAAGTTATAACTTTAATCCATTAATCTTACTGCCAGTGTAGACGACTCTTAACTCAAGAAATTGACCAATCACAGTCGAGTATTCTCTTAATGCTTGACTATGATCGGTCAATTCCCTAAGTTACAACTTTAATTCATTAATCCTACTGCCATTGTAGATGACGTGTTACAACATATCCCTACCGTGCTGCGCAGGCGCGAGAAGAAGCATCTCTTCGACACATGTATCCATCTAGCAGCGACTAGTTCCATGGTCGAGAAACTCAGACGTCCGAAGATCCCGCAACCTCCTCGGCGCTTCTTCGGCGTTTGTGCTTTGTTCTCTTCGGTAATCTTCGGCGACCGACAACGACAGATCCTCCTGCGACAGGGAGAGGGATCGCGCACGACGGGTCTGATAATTGGACGGGTGTAGCCCGCCGTACGCCGCCCCCAGGAAGCGATTAAGCGCCCGGGGCCCGGGCACGGGTCTCGCACTGCGGGTGCGAACGTTAGTTCTGCGGGTGACGCCGGCCGCCTTGGAGAGCCTCGGAGTCTCGAAATCTCCTAAGGCCCCCCAGGCATAGTACGCGCGACCAAGGTAAGAAGCCCACGATGACAATCTCAGCACGGACAGGATACCGAGATGCAATCTGTGTCGTAAAAAGAGGGGAAAAAAATCGTCACGACTGTATCACTATTCCTATCTCGCAGTTTCGATCGCAGTATTAATGACGTCGTCGTCATCGTCGTCATTTCGTTGTCTGCTTAACCTCTTACGTATTCCCTGAAAATTATACCTATGTTGTGATCATCGTTTCAGTCACGAGAAAGAGGAATTGTCTGGATACAAATGCGCCATTTTTTTCATATTTTATAGCTTTCTGTAAACAAAAATAACTTGCAATAAGTACTAGAGCTGATTTGATGTAATGAGTTTTTCTTTTTTGTTGATTATTAATTAAATATTATTACTGCAATCGTTACTGTTGAGATTCTATGTTATTTTATAGCAATCATGCACAGTATGTTTTTTTTTACTTTATCAGCAATTAATGTTCATGAAAATGTTATCGTAATTGCACATGGCAAAGTTTAATTCTGATTGAAAGTATACGGAAAATATTAAAATATAATTATAAATATTATATATTAATTATATATTATATATTAATATACATATTTAATTATATATAAAGAGTTATATTGTATTTCTTTTTTAAAAGCAACGAAATGTTTATGGTTATGATCTATAATATTTATATGAATTATATTTTGCCAAAGACAAATACATAATTAGAATGACACTACTGGGACGTACTATCATTGCACTTAAAGCTTTCTTTATACATATATATTCTCTCTTTGTTCTTCAAATTGTTCCTAGTCCTTTCCTATTCTCTTTCTTTCTCCATAGGCCCAAAAGACATTCTTTCAGGTTGAAAAAAAAGTTCGTTCGCTATAGTTTCTAGTGCAGTACAAAAACGTGATTTATCGGTACTTTCTTAGTTTGTGTTGTGTTCAAGTTGAAAGTTTAAATCGACACTAAAAAGTTCCGCGCAAGAAAACCCGACAAAAGAAAAACAGTATGTATCATATATGTGACAAAGTTTATAAGTAATAAAGTATAAAAGTTTTCGATAAAAGAAAAGTTGTCAAAAGTTGTGACATAAAAAGTATGTTCGACACAATATGGATCGCGCGCGTTGTGCCATCAAGAGCGAATACTTCACAGGCTCTGATCGACACAGGTAAGCCCTGCGATGCTATTGATGCAGATTTTTCAGTGCTACACATTCGGTCGGTGAAACGTCTAAAAAAAAAGACAATTAACTTACCAAGTAAGAGAGAATTTTGTGAATGGGTTACATTTAAAGATTTAATCAAGACATTCCTGTTCCCGTTGGTCTAAAGTTGTCTGCCGTCTTTTAATCAACTCCATTATTTTACAGGTTGAAATAGTTGCAACAACTATGTCCGACTCTGGCACAGAGAGCACTTCCTCGGAAGGATACGACGGAGGTAGGAATCGACTTACTATCACAGATGAGGTAACATCGTCACGCTACTCGCATCATTCCTCGGGATCCGAGCGACGAAAGTCTGCGGCAAGTTCTATTACATCCGGGGGAAAGTCACCTCCTGGATCGCCATTATCAGGCACAGAATCTAAATCGCCGAGATCCACTCCGATGTCGCCGAAATCGCAGCGATCCGGGATAATGTCCCCTAGTGAAGAAGGTTCTCCAAGATCATTGCGTAGTTTATCGAAATCTCCACCACCAATGTCACCGTCACCCTTATCGCCAACATATCTCCACCCCGCATCGCCGACATATCGTCAATTCGAGTCGCCAAAGTCTCACCACTCGGGAAACAACTCTATCGAGTCACCTCGATCGGACCGTAGCTCATCCCGATCTCCTATCCAGGACAACGGATCGTGTCTTTCTCCTCCAAACGATTCCAAATCTATGCGCTTCGAAGATGCCGAATCCAAAGCATCTGATTTCGAAGTGGATACACAAAGGTCCGTTGACAATTCGTTAAAATCATATTCATACAAAAATAGCGAATCCAGACAAAGTTCACCAAAATCGCCCAGATCAGGTCCCAGTTCTGTGAAATCCTTGATATCAGCGAGGAGTTCACCAAAGTCATTTAAATCTGGGCCAGCATCTCCCATGGATGATCAAGAATCGGATAAACATTCGCCGGCACATTCAGGTCCTCGTTCTCCCGAGGAAGAAGATGAAGAGAAGAACGGTTCGTTTAACGAATTGGACGGCGAGCAAATCTCGGATGGGGATATCGAGGATGAGCCAGAGCCAATGTCTAAATCTAAATCTACACCTATTACTCATGGCGAAGATTTATCGGATGTGTCGGATCTCGAAAGCATAGATGGTCCTGAGGAATCTACTGAACAGAACACAGAAATAGATAAGCTTCAAGAACAGGATGTAAAAAAAGAAAATATTAACAATGAAGAAAATACAGAAAAAGAAGATAAAACTGCACCAGTTGGTTTGACAGAGGAAAGTGAACAACTAGATTTTGAAGCCGACGGTCAATGGAAAGACGAACGTGATGAAGGTAAATACATTATAAGAATTTAAAGAATTTATATCAAATTTATTGTTATTTTTCTTTTTAATTTCAAAATTACACACACTTGAACATTATATTAATTATTAATATAAGGACCATTGAAAAAAGTGTAGTCGACCAAACTAGCCAGAAAATTTGTTTATTAATACGACGTTTCGACCATATGGTTGTGGTCCTTATCAAGTATATACTGGAAAATATTTATAAATTAATTAATTAATTAACGGTTTGAATATATAGTACGCTCAACGAATTAAAGTGTAACAATTTTTATATACCGATGTAATAAAAATCAGGAGACAGGCATAAACGATAATCTTGTAAATTGCACAAGTCACATTAATAAAAAACGTTATTTAACTAGATTTGAATTTTAGAGAAATTGATGCGTCCGTGAGAGACTTCGTCAAGAAATTAAACACAACGATAGGAAAACGAAACTACGTGACCTTTATTATTTTGTCGTAAATGTTGTTTAAACTATCCGTGTCTTTCTGTAGATTGATTAAATTATTAAATTTCTTGATAAAGAACATCAACATTTTGCATAATGAAAAATATGTTCGAAAGAGAGAAATTGCTGAGATGTTCTTTATCAAGAAATTTAATAATTTAATCAACCTACAGAAAGACACGGATAGTTTAAATAACATTTACGACAAAATAATAAAGGTCACGTAGTTTCGTTTTCCTATCGTTGTGTTTAGTTTCTTGACGAAGTCTCTCACGGACGCATCAATTTCTCTAAAATTCACATCTAGTTAAATAACGTTTTTTGTTAATGTGACTTGTGCAATTTACAAGATTATCGTCTATGCCTGTCTCCTGATTTGTATTACATCGATATATAAAAATTGTTACACTTTAATTCGTTGAGCGTACTATATATTCAAACCGTTAATTAATTAATTAATTTATAAATCTTTTCCAGTATATACTTGATAAGGACCACAACCATATGGTCGAAACGTCGTATTAATAAACAAATTTTCTGGCTAGTTTGATCAACTACACTTTTTTCAATGATCCTTTGATTATTTGACTATTAGCGACATTAAGATATTTATAATTTATAATTATTAATATGTTAAATATTATTATTAATTATATTAATTTGCGAAATATTGTTATATTAAAGAAATATCACATTATGTATCACTAAAATTACAATCACTGAAATTGATAAAATTATAGGTGAAACTGAAACAGGTACAAAAGAAATTAAAGAGAATACGGAAAAAGATAGAGACAAAGATAAAGACAAGGACAAGGCAAAGCTAAAGGAATCCAATGAAATGAATGATAAGGAAGAAGGAGAGGAGGGAGAAAAAGAGGAATCTGAATTGGAGGAAGGAGAGCTTAGCGATGGAGATGATGCACGACCGGAAGAGACTGAACCGAGACCCGTGTGTCGTTTCTATAATCGGGGACAGTGCACATGGGGTGTTAGTTGTAGATTTTTGCATCCAGGAGTAACGGATAAAGGTAACTACACTATGTTCGATATGGTGAGGCCTATGGCATATCCGCCGCACGCCGCCACGCCACATGAATATAGACCGCACATCGACAGACCGAATATTCGACCATTACCCGGTGGTTATGGTGCTCCTGCACATACGCCTAAAGTGGAAGAAACTCCAACTGAATCTGCCTGGGAACGTGGTCTGCGTCATGCTAAGGAAGTAAGCTATTATTATTACAAAATAAAATTATTGTACAAAATATTGCACGTATTCTTTGTTGATAGAATTAATAATTTTATAAATAATGACAATAATGTCTTAAGAGTAAGTTTCTTAAAAAAAATTTTATTCTTTTCAATTAACTAGATGATGCGTAAAGCGAATAAACGCAAGGAATCGGACATGGATTTTGAAGAGAAGAAAATGAATTTGAGTTTAGGACAAGATGAGCTGGATAGAGAAGCAGGATATTACGCGAGAGCGGCTAGTCCCGAGCCGCCGGTTGAAAGGTGGCCACAACGCGAAGTACCACGGTCTAGAGTACCATCTAGACCTACGCCAGACAGATATGCCGACGAGCCTGAGGGATATTATCCTCCAACTGTATCATCCGATTATTATAGGTAAGACAAACAGAAATGATATTATTAATTGTATGACTACAAGTTCTAAGAGAAGAAAATTATTTTAAAAGCATATATTATATCATACAATAATTATTATTACTCTATCGGACTTGTCCATCTTTATTTTTATTCAGCAGGAGAGTGCATTATAAAGATTCTCGCGAATATCGAGAGCGTGTCGATTATCATGCGATTCCACGCGGTGCTACCTCAGTTTCTCCTCCACCGCACACTCGCGACCGAGAAAGGGAACGAGATCGTGAGCGCGATAGAGAGCGAGATTATTACGAGAAGTATGAGAAGAAACATAAACGGCCATCACGAGAGGTTATTGTAGAACGTATTCCGCCGACGAAACCTTGGCGGGAAGAAGAACCACCCCCTGTCGAAAGAGGCAGAGGCGACGAATGGGCGGATCCGTGGATGCGACGCAAGTCTCCGAGCGCTGTGCGTCGCAATACGTCATCGCGCCGATCTCGCCGACAATCATACTCTTCGGGCTCTTCTTATTCTTCAACAAGGTATTATTCGTTGATTGCACTTGATTGTTTGTGCCTAATATTGAAAAAACAAGAAAAAGCGCCTTAAAACTGCCAGAAAAAGTTATTTGTTAAAGAGAAAGATAACTTATTGAAAATAATATATTCCATAATAATAAATATTAATAAAGAATATATTCCATAATAATAAATATTTTATAAAGAAATTGTAGATGATAGAGAAAGGGAGAGGAAGATTGTAAATGATAAATATTACTCGATAATTGCATATACATATTTTTTGTTCAATTATTCATTATAAATGCACGTGTGTGCACGCGCGTATTATATTTTTCATGCAGGGTATAACAAAAAAGTGATTTAAATATTTGCAAATTTATAATATTCATTAAACTGAATTAAAAATACTGAATTTAAAGATGACAGATAAAAATTCAAAAATCAATATTTCAAGTAAATTAGCACTTTTTAATTCGATAGTGTAAATTATTAATTATATCTATTCATGTCTATCTATCAGTTAAAGTATGAAAGAATTACATTTAAATTCAATATAATTAGAGAGAAATTAAAATAATAATATGACAAAATAATTCCATATAATTTCTTATTAATTTAATAACTTTTTATTTTTGTATTATAATTAATAGATGCGAGGAAGATGATAATTTGCATAAAAATTTACATGAAGATTGCAGTAGAAATATTGATTTACGGACTATAAGGTCACAAGTCTTTGAATCATTTTTTTTTGTAATATCCTGTATATAAGAAAAATGTATAAGAATATAATCTTTTTAGTTCTAGCCGTAGCTCGAGTCGTTCTAGCTACAGTTCTTACGACTCCTTATCCAGGTCCCGTTCACCATCAATTCCCGCTAGAACTCGTTCCGCTGGCAAAACCAAAACTGTTATTACTTCACCACCTTCCAATCCTCCAGCTGCACCTCAACGAGGTGCCATGCTGATGAATCCCCCTGCTCCATCTCCTCGCCCACCCAAAGGATCTATTTCTCCTACAACGGGTACTCTACATCGACGGGCTGGATTGAATCCACCTGCTCCGAGTCCAGTCTCTTCTCATCAGCGTCATCATGAAAAAGCTAGAGAGCAGAAAGCCGCTATGGCTGCGGCTGCTGTGGCTAAAATCATTAAAAGTCGCTCAAGATCTAGGTGAGCAAATTAATTTTTAATTTACAAATTTAGTATAATTGAATATTTTGAAATTATAAAAAAATCACTATGAAAAAATCATTATGAATTTTCATTATGAAAAAATTTAATTTAATGACACGACTATAAATTAGCATTACGATTGGTTTGATTAATTAACTTATTTTTATAATATGTGCCTTTTTTCTTAATTTCTATCGCAACTATTATGCATCGTGAAGACAAAGAAAAAGAAAGGAGAGAAAAGCACATTCTAAATCGTTTCGCAGTAGTTCTGGATCGGAGAGCAGCGGAAGCAGCAGCGATTCGAGCGAATCGAGTTACTCATCATCCTCCAGCGAGGCACGTAGAAGGAAAGGTTCGACACCACCGATAACACGTAAAGATTCCAAAGGCATCGATGCATTGAAGTTGAGCGGCACGAAGCAACAAATTAAACTTACATTGAAACCTGCGAGCAACACTACAGCAGTAAAAAAGATTGATCGCAGTGCACTTATGGCAGGTAAAAAACGTGCTCTCGAATCGCCGCCAATCGACAGCAAGGCGCAAGTAGCCGCGGCAGCGGCCAAGGCCGCCAAGAAGGTGAGCTCGCGTCGCGAGGAGTTATTGAAGCAACTGAAAGCAGTAGAAGATGCGATCGCGCGTAAAAGATCAAAGGTTTAAAGGTCGATCGATGAATCTTCAGACAAATACGTATGTACTACGTTTTCTAGACACATTGTGTAATTAGCATCACCGTCATCATCATCGCAGAATAACGAGATATGCAAAGTGTGTTAGATTGTGATAATATATACAAGCAAAAGCATGTTCTCATTTTTACAAAATACAGAATCGAACTTCACTATATTTTATTTCTTCACTAGAATTCCTTTTTCGTTCTATTCTTTTCTTAAATAAACATATAAATAGCACTGTACAGTTTCCGACTTTTGTTTTAATATCTAAGTGATTATTTTTGTGTAAAATTTAAAACAAAAGATAAGAAATGCATACCATAAAATATTTTGATTTCTAATGCACATGTAATGCACACACATGCGCTCACGCACACACGCACACGCACATGCATAATTTATTATAAATTTATTAAATATATCAATTAATTTTAAATTACATTATATATATAGTCGTGAAGAGTTTGTACAATTATGATAAATTAGTTTTGAAAAGGTACATTGATAATATGAAGCGACTTTAAAGTTTTAAGAAATCGATTTTTGCCTCAGTTATAAAAATCGATAAACTTTCTTTTTCTATTCCGTGAACGGATGAGCTTTGCATCTCCTTTGATGTCAAAAGTTTACTTTATAAAATATCCACTACTCTCATTTCTGTTCTTATTCGCAGCCAATTCTTGTGAACAGTTTCTGTGCGTTGTGCGTAGCGATTATAAGGTTACACAGCCGAGCAACGATCTGATAATCGAGCGATGTATAAATTGTCATGTCTGTATAAATATTTATTCTACATTTCACCTTTTGTTCCAACTATAAAAATGTAATATTAAAATTGTCAAGTGGATTATCAAAAGTTTTCATGTTGCCAAATGTGAGAATTATTTTACAATTATAAACTCATATATGAAAGATCTGTAATGAATGTTACAAGAGGCTATCATATTGAATATAGAAAGTGCTAATAAATTAACTTTCTATGAAACAAACATTTATTAGTAGAAACATATATTCGGAGAAACATAGTACCATAATTTTTCATTAATGGACATAAGCTTTCACAATGCAACAAAGAATAAATTTGGCGTTAAAAAATAGCATTTTTGTTTCATTATTGCGAGACATTTTTTTTTTTTTTTTTTTGAGAAAAAAACTAACGAGATTATGTAGATATAATCCAGAATATGTAAAGATAATATAAATATATTTTCTTTTAATAAAATTAGAGAGAAACATCAATAAGAATTCGATATGACTAATGACCTGCGATTTTAACGGAAAAATACGATTCCAAAAATAACAGAGAATATACTGTCTGTGCTCTCTCTATCTCTCATTCGTAAATACAACGATTGTGACTACGTGAAAAGAAGGAAGATTTCATAATGGAAGTCATATATTTTGTACTTTTCTTCCGTATATATATATATATATATATATAGTAGAACGTATAAACTATGCCGAAAAGCCTGTTAAATTAAGAAACAAACTGTGCTTTGTTAACAACAGACTTTATTAAATATAAGTTACAAAACAAAATCCCAAAGAGAATATTATCGAAAATACCGATTCTCTCTCTTTGATTCTAAACAAATTAATTCTAAATAAATTAACATGTCTTTTTTTTAACAATCCGTATAAAGATGCCGATAAAATGGACGCATATTCCCCTATATTACTCTGTAATTATAAACACTGTATGACTTAAAAACATCTAATATAAATAAGTCTCGTTTAGATGAAGTTGATTGACTCACATTTCATCATTGAGAATTCTTAATATATGTGCAAGTTTTGTCTTATGAAATCTAAGATTTAAGCATTTATGTGGATTATATGTATAGAAAAACAAAGCAAGGTACATGTGTATTCATCAAAATTTTTTAGATGAAATTTTATATTTAATCTTTGTATTTAAACTTTAAAAAGGTGTTCAAACATTCGGATACTTATTGAAGTACGTATACATCGTACGTATACGTATTTGTATATCTGTATGTTTTTTTTATCAATGTAATTTCAATTGTTCAAGTAGAGACAAAATGGAAATTTTACGCAAATCATATAATAATATATAATTATTAACGCGTTAACGCGTTATAAATGTCAGAAATAAGTTAATAGTATCCAAATTGTTTCAAATGTTCAATTCTTGCATAAAAGTTGCCCTGGAACACTTTGGATTGTCATTGAAGTATAAAGAATTCCTCTAAACATGCGCGAAGAACATTTTCCTTTATACTCTCGGCGTAGACACATCGAGATCCGATTGTCTGTTTGTTGGATTCGACTCCACGGTTTCTTGCATTGTTCTGAGCGGCATTCCCATGAACTTTGGTTGATTGTTGTCGTTCAAAGTGCTACGTCTCCCCCTGATAATGAAAACTGGATTCGGTTTTACCTCATTATACTTGAAGAGACCATCGCCGGGAGCTGGTAACCCGATCTTGGGTAGCTTGTACCACCACTTATACGTGACGTACCACGTCATAATCGCGGCCACGCTGGCGAGGAATTTCTCGATCATGATGTGATAGTAGAGCGTCGTGGACACCAGCATAATGTCCCACAGCAGCTGTTGTAACGTCATCGCCACGAAGAGGCCGCGCAAATACGGCGTCAGCGCTTGATGCGCCTTCTTCAGGAATTCGAGATCGTTATCCGAGAGATTTCGCAGCGGACCGCGACTCGTCTCGGTCGGCGTGGATCGTGTGTGTTCCTCGCGCATTACCAGATCCTTGATGCCCTCCCATCCTACCAGGGAAGAGCCTTCTTCGGCCAGGATCAGACTAGAATAAACTAAGATGAACGCATGACCGGATATGTCGAGACCGCTCCAGAATTTACCCGCCTGCAAGCATCTTATCTTTGATTGCATCTGAATGTCGCGGGAATTCAGACACCTGCCGTAATTGTTTTCGATGTAGTAGAACAGCCTCGTCCAGAAAAACCAGGCGAAGGTAGCGAAGGCGACACGGGCCAGGTGCTTGAGCAGGATCGGTCTGCGACCGCAGCCCAGCGTGTGGGCCGTCAGGGCGACCCAGGGTATGATTACAGACAGCAACCAGCCCCAGCCCCATTTGACGAAGTACCGATTCAGAGCGTTGTCGGACCTGGAGAAGTAAGTACGTGGCATCGTGACGAAGTCTGCGATCAGCGAGATCGTGAATATCATGCTGCAGTAGATGGCCACCTTGAGCCGGGTGTCGAATAGCAGCGACTTCTTGCATACATGCAGCAGCATGGTGATGAGGATGAGGCCGATGGAGCTCGGCGCCGCAGTTGGCCGGGTGCCACCGCGATCTTCCTGCTGAGTGAAACTCGGCCGAAAGTTCATTCGGCTCGAACGTAGACCACTGCCGCTGGTCCCGGAGTTCCCGGACGACGTGTGGATGCTACGTCGCTTACCCGTTGCCATCTCGCTTATTTTTTGGATTCCAAATTCTAGGTTATCGACGCGCAAGATCCCCGATGTCGCCTATGGGCATCGCACTAGGTTAATCTTTTAGGTTAGGCGCATCACTTGTTCTAGGAGGTGCCGGAAGATGTCCAATCTGGCGCTATTCCTGGTCTATTCCTCGGGTCTCGCTCGAGTCGCCTCAACTTGCCGGACTCGAGGTGAAGGTGAAATCTGCCTCGTCATCCACTGTTTCACCTACTCCCCTCTTCTTTACTCCACATTACTATGCGTGCCATGGGTGTCCTTTGCCCCCAAGTGCCTAAGTTCTCTTCACGTATAAATTATAAACCGTAAATGACTATGACACACGTTTCACGTTGCCGTACGCGCGTCGTACGCGATCGATCGAATCGATAAAGCTACCGACCGTTGAACTGTCAAACGTACCGACCACGTGCGCGCAAGCTTCCGAGGCTCGCCGCCAGGTGGCGCGCCAAGTCGCGCAACATGGCCACCGCGAGAGGCCGATTATTCCGCGATGGTCGGCAGTTTCGAAAGGCGGCCAATGGGTTCCGGTCAGTTTCATCAGGCACGCTCGTAGTAGGACGTCGGGAGACGCGCGCAAACTTCATTTCGTTCAGCGAGTAACGTCGACGCGGGCGCGATTCTCGTCTTCTCGCGCCTCAAGGACGAGAGCGAGGAGCTCGACAAGTGTGGGGAAGAGAGAGAGAGAGAGAGAGAGAGCGAGAGAGGGGAACGCGTGACACGCCGGGACGCGGAGTGGAGGCTCGAGAGCAATCGCGTGCATAGATCGGCCGAGTTTTACGACGCTTCGTTGCGTCAGCTCACTAGCCGAGCGTTGCTGGAGGAGAGGACGCCGAAAAGAGAGAAAAAAGTGACAGCGGCGATTCCCGGAAGGAGGTGGAGCGATCGAGGACGAGGCGCGAAGCAAGAGTGCAGTAACAGGTGGAAGGATAATAACAATACGGTAAGTTGATTCTCGCGTCGTCGAACTTGGGGGATTATTTTTGTAGTGTGTGTGTGTGTGTGCGAGGACGCACGCACACACGTGCGAATCGTGCGTTTTTCAGCCTCGGCTCTCCCAGCTGACGTCCGTTCGCACGACTCGATTCTAAACGAGTCGACACGACCTCCTTGACGTGCGCCTAGTCGATAACCGTGTTAATTCGACGTGTACGTCGCTCGTCCCGTCTTCCTCTCTCACCTTGTGCGTGAGAAACAACGCGGGGCGTAGCTTCGTGGACTTGGCGCGAGCGAAACTCTTTCGCGATCTCTCTCGTGTGTTCGACGTAGTTTGTGTAAAAAAAGAAAAGAAAACTCGGAGAACAATTCGATAAACATTCTTGCGTAAGTTTGTGTTTTGCGCGTATCGGTCTATTGTTGCATAGATGAGAATTGTGTTTAGGTTGCTTATATCGTAATTTTGTCATTAGGTTGATTAGAAGCAATTAAGGAGCTTTCCATCCACGATGCATAGTGACTAATGCAATATTTTATTATAATTGATGTGAATATTTTATTGTAAATTAATATTTTATTATAATTAATGTGAATATTTTATTATAAAATTCTAGATTAATTCGGAAGGTGACTGTATTATTATATTATTTTATCGTTATTTTCTAAAATATTTTTTCATACGGCTTAACGCGGGATTGATCCACAAGCCAGCTGTAATTATTAATAAGCGAACGCCGTGGAAACGACCAAATTCGTGCAAATCGATGACACTTTGCGCGACACACGATATGGCGTCTCGTTTATCAAGCGTCCTTCCTTTCCACGCAGCAAATCCCTGTTAAATTTGACATTTCCCGTATCTTCTTGGTAAGACAGCGATATGCGCGCGCGAATCTCGATGTTCCTCCACCCACGCGCGTTTAGCAAACGCATGCATTCCTTTTTCCACTCGCGTGCCATCGCCTATATTTCCCTTCAATCGGAATAAACGATGAGATCTTCCGTTTAGCATCGCGAGTATATCGTCGCGCGACTTTAATTTATACTTCGAATCGCGTGATCTAGAATCGCAAACTAGTATTTTTCATTAGGATTTAATTCATACGTATATATTCCATAGTAATTTCTAGAGTCGCAAACAAATATTTTTCATTAGAATTCAACTCGATACAGATGTGTTTCATGGTAATTTTATATTATCTCGGAGATAACATTGTATATGTGATATCCGGTATTGAAACCTTTGCCAGTGAAAAGAATAATGACTCTCATCAATGTATAAATATAATGACTCGTAATGAGATATGATTCACATCAATAATACAATATAATTGGAAATGCATTTTCAAAGGAGATTAATGCATTTCATTATGCATCAGATGTGACGATATTATGATAAAGATTTAACTTTTCAGGATAATTATCTATATAATTATCTATATATCTATAATTATTAGTATTTAACAAAAATTTTAAAAATTCGATTTACTAATTTTAAACTTGTCAAACTACTCATGTGTGAGAATTATTTTCTTTTTACTCGTGAATTTTCGGTCAGAAAATTTATCATTATACAGAAAAAAAAATAAGTGTCAAATCAAAACTTATATACTTAAACTAACGCGTAGATTGTTTCGTATATACGCAACAATTTATAATCTTCTTAGAAGAATTTAATAATTTTAAATTTCAACAATATTACAGTCTTATTTTGATATTTTAATTGTCACCTCAAGAATATATAATTATTTAATTCTACTTTAAGAAAATTATAATCTTTGATTTAAAAATATTATTTTCTGTCTAACATTGTTTCTTTCCATTTAAGAAAATTAAATCTTAAATCATAAATATTTTTCTTGATTGAACTATATAAAACGGCTTCATTCAAGTAAACAATTATTCAAGCAATTATATTTTTCTTTAATTTTTATATCATTATAAATATAATTTCGTTTCAAGATTTCCTTGTTAAAACTAAATATATTTTCGAAACAAGAATGTCCTTTTTTTCTGTGTAGTGTGAAAAGATTTTAAATTATAAATAATAATAAGATAAAGTATATATTGGATGAGATGATTATATATGTAATATGAGTAATAACACGCACACGCACACACATACACGACATAGTCATTGCACATGCAATCATTTAAACGACGCAATACTCACATTACACTAAGGTTACATTCCGAAACGTCATCTCTGAAGAAAATTTTCCTCCGATGATCGCTTCGAAATTCCTTCGAGCATTCCCGACTGATTTCGAGCCGATCATTCGAGTAAAATTCCTCGAAGAGGACGTTTTGACACGTAACCTAAATAAGAATATTTTCACTCATCCCGTCGAGTAGGTGGATTTAATGACCACGTGTTGCGGCCGCGCCTCGTGAACTGTCACTATCTATTTCCAGTCGGGATGATCTCACGCCATGAGATTAAGTAATTCTCTCCTCTAGCGTGCGCTTCGACTGACATAATACCGCGGTCTGTAACCCGAGCATCTCTTCCGAGATCTCAACCGAGGCGCCTTGCGATCAAGCGGATAGTTTTGCTCCTGTCACTCGGTCCTCGCGAGGACCTCCGCGTCCTCAAATCATGGATTTCGAATGAAAAAAAAAATGAAGCGTAATCGCTGCGTTTTATATCCTCTCCTCGTCGCGACGATAATTTTCGGAAATAATTTCGATGGAATCTCGCAACCGGGAGTTTCGGGGAACCAGACGCGCGCGCATCGATCATCTGTCGTTATCGTCGACGCAACCGCGTTTACGCCTTTCATGCCTGCACGATAGCTCCCGTAATCGATAACTCTCATAATCCGCGTGGCGTTTTCATTTTCGCGTCCTTCGGTGTCGATCGCGGTGCATATCTCCGACGCGGTGTCCTCTCGCAGGACATTAATTGAACATTAATAGCGGCAATTGCGACAAATCACTTATTCAGGTATGGAGCATGCGTGCTGGTGTTCGTGTATGTATAAGTCAATCGATCACGGTTACAGAGTACGTGCTGAGCAATTTGAACAGTGAGCAATTATAATGATGCAAATGATAATTTTATGGGAATTATAGAAATTTTTAATGTCACATCATCTGGCATGAATGGGAAATGTGAGGTTTAATGGAAAATGATCTCGGTGAATTATTACGGTAAAGAGATTGGAATGTGTCGTGCCATAGCACGTATAATACTCCGATCGATTTTTACTCCGGTTATAAAGATCGCGAGTTATCTTCCTCATTTATCGAGTGAACGAGTTTTAAACTTCTTATCTGCAATAGCGAAAGTCAAAATAACTAATTTCGTCAAATGTCATTCTATCTTGCTCGCTCTTATGTGTGCCTGTCTCACTTTTTGGTTCTCGGCGAGTTACATTTTTTAAATAAGGTTAATGAAAATCATGGCTGCTTGTTCGAACAACAAAATCTTATAAATTGAGAACGCTGTACTTTGTCATCGATAAATATGTATAAGCAAGTGAGAAAGTATATAATAGTCGTGAATAAAATTGCTATCGATTAGATGGAAATATGTAAAGGCAGATATTACATCGATATTGCATTAAATCGTGCGTTTAATTCGAAATAAACTTGAGCTATATATATATAATTAAAAGATAGTATAAATAATAATTCCTGAGCATGTCTTGAAAATACAAGAAATATCTTGGATCATTGTATTTTTTTTGGTATTTTTTGACAGAAGGAATTTTACATTTTTAAAAAGATATTTTAATCTAGGATTTATAACTTGATTGCGCTCTTTATTCTTCGTAAATTTAAATTTTTAATTAAATATTTTCAAGATATATCATTAAAGTAAATCATTTCAGATTAAAATCTCAAAATATTGTCAAAGTTTTAAAAATATTTAACAGATTTAAATAATTATTAATGATTATTCACAATTTTTATATTTAAATCTAACTTTAAATTCCATTATAATTTGTCAAATCCCGCGATATTTTGTGATAAAAATGAAAATAATAACACTCAAAAAACTGGAGTGTTTTTATGCAATCGAATATACATGCTTGAAGAAACAATGCTTCACATTCATACATGATGAATGCACGTGTTTATGCATATATCTACAATGTGACACCTTTTCTCCTACACTTGTATGTGTATCACCATCGATGGGCCTTCGTATTATTTGTTTATATTAGGGTTCATTTCCCTTTCTAATCCTTCTTTCCTGAATCAATCAATGCTCAATGAGCACTTAGATGTGTCCTTGCAAAGTATCACCAACGTCATCTCGGATATCGAGTCAGGTGGCGGTAACTTATAAAGCAGTGACGTAAACATGTGACGTTAGTGCATATATTTGTTATGTTACAGTTTTAGAATAACCGGAGACGATGGATCAAGGCTTCCCGGGGCAGCACACCACCACGACCACCGTGACGACTACCACTACGACCACCCAGCCCAATATACGGTTTGATCCGTCATACGCGAGGACATTGCCTGGAATTTTAAAAATCGTGCAAGTGGTAAGTCCATGCATTTCTTTTTCTAGAGAGGGAAGTTTTTATGCAAACGCAACATCAATATTCCATATTATTCTTGAAAAGGTACTGCTAATGCCTCAATATAAATAGTGTTTCAACATAATATTTTCTATAAATTAGTTGTTAAACTGAAAGTTTATATTGATTAATCTGAAAAATTATCCGCGAGAATCTTTGAATCTTTTTTTTAATACCATAAATCTTAAATAATATAATTATATATATATTTATGAATAATATACATATATATAATTATATTATATATTATATTTTTAATCCATGTATAATTTTTTATGTGAAAACTAATAACTTGTTAATCGAAATTATACTAAAAATTACTAAAAGATTTAAAGAAAGATGTAAATAAGTTTGCCCTATTAAATGTATACAATGCATATAAACATGCGTTCGTATCGTTAGTTAAGATTACAATGGTATAAACATCTCGTTGCGTCATAGACCACAATGGATTCTTAAATCTCATGTCGATTGCGAGAACCGTGAGGCTTTATACCTACATAGTATTTTGCATACCTGGGTAACACAGAATTTCTTGAATGATAATCGTTGGGCTCTTCTTTCAGGTGCTAAATCTCCTGGGATTTATATGCATAACGGTGTCAAGTCACAGCAGCCATAGCCGGGGAGGATGGTTCAATACCGTATCCATGATTGGTTTCTGGTTTACTGGAATCCTGCTTGTCTTCTACTTGTTCCACATCATCGAAAAGTTTTCCAGAATCCCGTGGCTTAAGATTGTAAGTTTTCGGTAGTTAGTTGTCGCTAGCTGCTGATTCGTATCCTCTGGCAAGATTTTTCTATTTTGTCCGCGCGAAGAGATATGCGCCTAAAATAAATGTAAATAGAAATAAGTAGGCGACTGGTGGGTCGTATACGTTCGATAAACATATATGAGACGTGTGGATATACGCATGTAATATTCGTGATACGCGGGAACCAGGGAGTGAAAGCTTGTTAGAAAGTTTGCACGCAGGAATCTAAAAATCGATCTGTGTCATTCCAACTTTTACACTCACGGGTGAACGATCGATCGTGAGCGACGTAACGAGGACAGCCATCGTCTCTGTGCTGGATCCAATAATCACTCATAATCGGATTATCCTTTTTTAAAAGCGCACACATAGAGATGTAGTATACGTAGCATTACGTGGCGCGTCTCGTAATACCGCGTAACATCTCCCAGAATCGGTAGATTGCGCATCCATTGTATCGTTACGCGAATTCAGCCACGCCCGAGTACAGTTTAACAATTTTTATCCTTATCGAAAATATTATCTATATCTAATTTATTATATAATATTTTTAGGAATTCGTATTCTGCACGATATGGACAGTTTTCTATTTATTGGCCGCTTCCCTCGCAGCTGATTACGCACGTCACACCGAGGCCTTCGGTGTTGCAGCGGTACATGAGAATTCTATATATATTATTATTATTATTTTCATTATTATTATGCCTTGTATAAATAACGCAAATATCGAAAAGATGTCGATAACACCATTTAAGTTATTTTTATCGAAACAAAGGGAAAAATATAAATCCTTGAAAAATATAAAAAAATAATGATATTAAGGACAAATCTAGTGTAGACATCTTTTCGAGTTTCGTACTCTTAGGATATTTCTTGAAAATAGTACATAAGCTTTTTTATATTGAGACATATTATATTTCCCACAGTTTTTCGGTTTTTGCGCGATGGTGGCGTACGGTTACGACGCTTGGCTCAAGTTCCACGCCGTAAAGAGCGGTGGGTTGGCGCAGGGTCAGCATACACCGAAACAAGTATCCACCGTCACCAGTCCAGCGTATTAAAATCCAAGGGAGGGATGGGTCCCGAAGCAGATGGACCACCGGTCGACCGATTGGACTGATTGATCGATCGATACATATCGTTACCTTTGTGCGGGGCCAGCTCTTTTGTAACTTCGGCATGTTTCTTTCTCGTGTCGAATCTCAAATCGCGACACGCACGACGCGTGCTTTTCTCGGCTCAACGCTTTTTCCGTTTGCTCGCACGTGTGCGTCGCGTGTATTTTTGTGCGTGCGTACATTCGTTTATTTACACCCACGCACGCGTACACTCGACTTTCCTTTCCTCTACTTTCTTCTCTTTTTGTACTTGTAACAAGGCAATAATCTACACTACGCTATAGCGTATCGTTGACTTATATTCTAACACGAAGAGGCGATGCGCTCATGTATGCATTATCCTCCATCGAACAACGATTGTTAATATTTTGTAATAATGTTTGCCGCATTTTTGCTCGATCGATTCTATTTGATGTTATTTATACGACGATGTACATGTACATACATACACATACAGATCTATATGTATATACATACATATACGTTGTTGAAACTATATTTTAAATCATTGTTGAAATTGAAGCAACGTTTTCACGCATCATGGCACAGCGAGACTCGGACGCGATATCGAGTGCTGGTGCGACTGTTAGATCTATTTTAATCTTCTCGGTCCTTGTTTGCAATTGGTCCAGCTAATCTTGTCTTATATAAATACAAATGCATGAATGTAGAGAGATAATAGTGAAGCATTATCTCTATATAAAATATGAGTCTCAAGAGTATATTTGAATTGCAAACAAGGACAGAGCATCCATAAATTGAAATACCGAAATACAGTATTCTCCTTCTTGTTGTATGTAGCCTTCTTAGACTGTCGTATAAATTTTCTAGATTGTGTTCGATATTACGCTTCGCGATTCCTTGGAGGGATAAAAAATATAGTTACATTTGTGCAAATTATACTGAGAAAAAAATTAATAGAATAATGTTATATGTGGTCACATATACACAAACACACACATACACGTATACAGATAGATTATTTAATTCTTGAGTCAGTCTATTGGCTCGCAATGAACATATTCACCGTATTAATCATCATATCAAATCATTGTATGGCGTTACTCGATATGCGTAATCTCGTATGATGATGTTCACGAGATTCTTTATATCAAGGAATAATTTGTTACGAAGAGTACCTAATACTTTCTATTACGACTCGCGCGTATAACTATATTTACTATTTTTGTTAACTTTACTAAGATTTTGAATCTATACAAGTACACATTTCACGGTATACACCGATATCAATGTCTAGTTAAAGAGATCTGGCGAATATTACTATAGATATTACTATGCATAATAAGACGATCGATGAAATAACTTCAACATCGGTAAGTGTTCAATGAAATAAATTATTGTAGTTTTCCGAATGTGTAATTCGATTCGCTACCGATATAGGAAGAAATGATTGTCGTGTGTGTAAAGTATTACAAATATATTAGAATAAGATTATATATGTATACATATATATACGCACGAGTTATCTTCGTAAATGTATTTTATTTAAGATAAACATCTATCTATCTTTATTTTCTTTCGGAAAAACTTTAACAAAAAAGGGCAATTTCTTCACTTAGTATTGTTATGCGACATGTAAAATTGTGAAGAATTGCATCAATCTCCATATATTTCCGCTCATTTTATGCTGACAATGTCATGTGTGGATATTATTAATATATCTTGATTTATATATATACACATTAACTTATTTATTAAACGTCATTTACACTAAATGCATAATCTTACATGTATTACAGTACGTATTAATGGTACCATGCTAAGTTCTAGATAACTTATCAACTTTAATTAAATCATAAAAAAATACACGAATATGATTCTCTCGAGTTACGATACGCGTTAAGGGCGACGAGAACGATGGCGAGTGTGCATGGAAACGCGAGTTAATCTCTTCTCTTAATTTCTGTACTGAAATTGAGGCCGGCGCGCCTGCTTTTTGCCCATTGACGAGAGATCGATGGTCTTTCCGTCTGGAAGTACCAGCTTGTTCTCCTGGTAATCCACGAAACCGTTCTCCTCCTCCTCCTCGCGTTGTTCTTCATCGCACTTGATCCCGGTCTCATACGTGTATTCGCGTCGGAGTCCGTCCGGATCGATGTATCCGTATTTGCCACTCGTTATGCAATCCACGCCGATCGTCTCCTCCTTGTACGACCCGTCGTCGTTTTCGAAGCCCCACGTGATGGAACCGTCCTCGTTGTCGTGTTGATATCTCCTGATAATCTGTAATACATTTTTATTTATGGAGCCTCGTAATCATAATACGTTCGAACATTTTATCAATGCTTTCCCAAGGAAAAAAAAAAAGAGTTCCAGGGTAACTTTCACGGTCCACAGCGCATTACGAAGTTGGTATGACCTAAGGCTCGTTTAAAGACACTGCCATACTGTCGTTCCGTAAATTTGACGAGCGTTATGTAATACCTGAACAGGTTTCTCTCGACCGCATTTTATGAATTATCGATTATTGAGAAGAGCGAGCGGATGATTCCGGCTTTCATCTGTCAACTTCAAATAATAATTCGCACAATCGATATTTTTATGAACGTTGAAAAATTCGACATAAAAATTTGTCATCTAAACATTCCATCCTTGTTTTGATAAATCGGGAATTGATGCTATTTCCGAGGACGAGTTTCGGATCGGCTTCGATCTTACCTGCGCTACCGGCTTCTTGCCGCGAATCTCGAAAGCCTGGGACGGTTTCACCGGCTTAGGCGGCGGCTTGATCGGTTGCCTGAATGCGACATCGTCGACGATCTGCTTCCTCGGGGCTTTCGTGGGTTTCTGCGTTGGACGATACTGAACGGGCTGTGGGGATGACGTCGCGAAGGTTTGCCGGGCAACGCTCGTCGGCGTGACTGTCACCTGGGGTGGACGATACGCTGGTGGTCCAGGAGTCGGCGATGCCGGGGCGCCGAGCGGTCGCACCGGTGGTGGCACGCGTGGCACTTCCTCGCTCACCTCTTCCTCGCTGTTCGGTTCCTGGCTTAGATCCTCATCGTCGCGGATGGAATCGCGCGACACCTCCTCGTCCTCGGGCACTTCGTTCACCGGCTTCACATTATGCGAGAATATCGGCGCGGTCGCCGGCAAATTCGGTCGAAGTGGACGGAATGTAGCGGGTGTGTCGTCCCCAGGTCCACGAGGTCTGTAATTTTAATCATTTTAATCATTTGACAGGTACACAGAAAAAAAACGAAGTGTCAAATCGAAACTTATATACTTAACTAACGCGTTCATTGTTTCGTACATACGCAACAATTTCTAATCTTCTTAGAAGAATTTAATAATTTTAAATTTCAACAATATTATTGTCTTATTTTAATATTGTAATTGTCACCTCAAGAATATGTAATTATTTAATTCTACTTTAAGAAAATTATGATCTTTGATTTAAGAATGTTATTTTCTATCCATTATTGTTTCTTTTCCATTCAAGAAAATTAAATCTTAAATCATGAGAATATATGTTTCTCGATTGAACTATATAAAATGGCTTCATTCAAGTAAGCAATTATTCAAGCAATTATATTTTTCTTAAATTAACGCGATATAATCTCATTTCAAGATTTCCATGTTAAAACTAAATATATTTTCAAAATAAGAATGTCCTTTTTTTCTGTGTTTATATTTTTTATAGCACGTGTGTGTTATTGTTTTTAAAAGTACTTATAGTTATTTCTAAAATGTGTGTGCTGTTAAATTATACATTACATATTTTTTTAAATATGTATATTATTAATATTTTACCCTTTCTGTAAATTCGCAAAAATGAGGATTGTAAACAAAATATATGTAGAACTGTCAACTGTAAAGATTATTATTTTTTTTATATTTCTCTCTTTTTCTATTTATATATTTACATATCTGTGACCACGCATATGGAACGGTATTTCTATTTTTTCTTGTTTCGTTTTGCAAGCCTACCCAGAAACTATAAATTTGTATTTGTCAGTAATTACGTAATCGGACGATTTTCAAATTCTTGCCGATAATTTCGCATTTCCTGCTCCGCGCAAGAGTACGGACGTTGCATCAAACCTGAGTTGAACCGTTAGATTAATTAACAGCGGCATATTTTGCACCTTCCAGATAGATATGCGTACACCATGCAAACTGGTTTTCCAACCTTTCCTTTTCCTAGCTCGAATAACTTTATTGATATAGGCTGATTATGCGAATACTTTAAGTATGCGATTATTCGTCATGGCTAATTGTAGGTTTTCTCTAACAAGGTTCTATTCTATTTTAATATATGGAGGCAATAACGACGTACATTTCAATTTTTCTGTATTAGTATAATTTTCAACAGTGGAAAAAGCAAAGAAATATATATATTATCAAAACAAATTTATTACGACAAATGTAAAAATAATTTTATCGCATACTCTATCGATTAACTATTTTACGAGCTAAATGAGAGGATTAATTATCGAATGCATTACTTGAAGCTGATTGGTCGACGAAGCCGCTGATTAGAGAAGGCAGGTGGACCAGCATTTGGCCGAAGAGATTGAGGTGGTAATTTTTGATAACGATTCGCTCGTACAGGGATCGGCGCCCCTTTTTGCCCTTCTGGAAACTGTGCCGAACATGCGGCGACGCACGCCAAAAACTGAAAATCAAAAATTGCGTTTTCATCCTTGCTATTTAAAAAAAAATTTAATTACATGCATTAATTATAAAGCACAATTATTGTGAACAATTGCAAAAGGTTTCCCACGAATGATTATGTCAGGTGCTTTTTATACTCTTGTATGATTAATATATGTATATATGTGTGTTCTAGATACGATTTAATCGACTACTTTCTGCTGCGCTCTTTAAATTGTACACTAATTATGTGAAATTTATAATTTACGATTTTTCCCAAGTTTTCACCGTAATTCCGTCGAGGTTTTTTTTTTTATTTTGCAATTCTATCGCGCGACGTTAATAATGTATAACGCTAATGATAATGTACAACAAGTATTATCTGCGCGTTACACGAATTTCTATCGCGATTCCCCGATCGATGAACGGCAACGAGCGCAGCGAAAAACTATTCGTCACGCCCGCGTGTAACGCGAAACTTGTTCCACGATATGTACACGATATTCCGGTTTGCGCTTTGCGTTACAAGTACGGCACCGGCTTACATACGCAAAATCGTCTCGCTTAAGAGAAAAGAGAAAGTGATTCGATTTGAGGGCTTTAAGTCGCGGCATTCTTTCGATCCTGCGTATAGATACATGCGTAATCATTTAATTGACGTGACATTTAAACGACGACGAAATACGTAAAGGAGGGGGATGCGTTTTGTACGTTTGAATCGGAAAAATCGCGATATAATTAGAAATGCGGTAGAAATCAGAATAACCGTTTATTAATTCTTTCACTTTCATCGATTCCTTCATATTTCCTTCATATTTCCAGCATACGATTGAGTTTAGTTGTTTATAGGCAGACATAAACCAGAAATGAAATAAAAAGCTATTAAATTATATTTCCACTTTCTTGAACTTTAATATAATGAGAGAAATTTATATTTTTATTAATATTTTATATTCAGAAAATGTTTTCTTCTGTTCCTAATCTTTTTTATTCGAGAAAATCTTTTAATTTTTTTTACTACTTAAAAATTTCTCTTAAGTTTTATGGATATCCCCCTAGTCTTATCGTATTAAAAATCCACTTTATAGAGTTCAATATATATTTTTATACACAATATATATTTTATGGTACACACAATATAGGAAACATTTTAAAGAATCAAAACAGAAAAGCATTTACACATGCACAGAAAAAAAATAAGTGTCATTGTTCATTGTTTCATATATACGCAACAATTTATAATCTTCTTAGAAGAATTTAATAATTCTAAATTTCAACAATATTATAGTCTTATTTTAATATTGTAATTATCACCTCAAAAATATATAATTATTTGATTCTACTTTAAGAAAATTATAATCTTTGATTTCAAAATGTTATTTTCTATCTAACATTGTTTCTTTTCTATTCAAGAAAATTAAATCTTAAATCTTAAGATTTTCATATTAAAATTAAATATCAAAACAAGAATGTCCTTTTTCTCTGTGTGCATGTAAAATACATAAAAATACGGATATACAAGATATATGACACATGATATATAAAAATTACGTAGAATGTCTTGAATTTTCTTGCGAATTAGACTTTAGTCTTGACACAAATTGCGTTAAAAGTTATCGTATTAATTAAATTTTTGGAATACAAATACACCTGCATGCAATACACTTTACGTTGACCAAATGTACTCAATATTAAGCGAATTCTAGCACGCGTTTGATGCAACTTGGAGTAAAACCATCGGCGTGGAGCCGGCCAATTCTCTTTTCTTTTACGGTTCTCCAAGTCGAGGCACGCGCAAGATACGGCGAAAAATCTGCGACTTTCTTACACCGAACGCTTTCACTCGTTCGCCATGAATTATTAAGTCGATTTTCGGCGCTGCTCGGGGTGTGTATAAATCTCATCTCGACCTTCCGCTCGCGGAAACCAGTATCGTATATATGGGCAAAGACCTTTTTCTCCGCACGCACAAGTCGTGTTTGTTAATTTACCGGTTACATGATGATTTCTGTAATGATGTACACGCACGCGAGCGATCTCTCGTACGATAAAAGCGGTAGCTTTTAATCGCTTAAGAATTCTTAATTATTTCTCAGATGAAGAAAATTTTGAGTTGCTAACAAATTAGTTTCCTTTTTTCTTAATAAATAAAAACGTTAAAAAATTTAAGCTTCAAGTTAGATGTATTCATAAATAGTAAATGAGTGTGGGACACTAATTCAAGCTTATGATGTGCACCAGTGTGTAGATGCAATCGTGTTATTTTCGTGCAATTTATGTTACAACAGTTCCGCAACTCCATTAAACAAATTATCTCGCTTAAGAAATACGCGAGTCTGAGCACCGGACTGCGCGCGTTTAAGTACTTGACATGCTTTTCTACAGGTGCTCAAGTGTTTAAATTCGCCGCACGCAAGTCTAGTACCTACTACTTATTATACATGTCGCCGAAATTTCACTGTGTCGATCGAGGGTTAAAAATGAAAGTAACAAGTGGAATCGCGTTGTTACGCGCAAAAGAAAGTGAATGTAATTTCACGATGCGAGGGTATAAAAAGAATTGCCAGGAAAAGATGGTCAATGTAAAAAGACTTATGATTAGACTACGTTTATTTGTTTTAATGCACGCGATGTTTTAATTATTTTATACTATTTATATATTTTATTTATTTATTTATATTTGTATTTATTGTATATTTATTTATTGTTGTGTTTATGTTATTTTTATTTATTTATTTATTCATCTGTATTTATGTATAATATAATACTTTAAAAATATTAATTAATTAAAAAATTACGATAAAATTATGCTCGAATGTTATATAATTTATTTTTTGTCGCGGTAAAAGTCAATCGATTTTATAAGCAACATATTTTATAATCAACACGTTATGTAATTAAAATATTCAATAAATGTATTATATAAGATTGAATTGAATATGTAATATTGGATAGTATCCATATATCAACACTATATTTTAAGAAACATGGTACTAAAATAAGATATTTTTAAAGTCTTACCATCTAATATTACATCACGTTAAAGATATAGGGAAGAAATAAATTATGGTATTAAAATGAGTTATTTTTACAGTTTTACTATCTAATATTACATCACGTCAAAGATATAGAAAAGAAATAAATCATAAGCGCGAAAGATATTATGATATAATGGTTAGATATAATCGTTTATTGCTATAATAATCATAATTTATTTTTCTAAAACAGGATATAGGATCAAGTTTTGTACAACCAGATATATGTAAACTTTGAATATGACTATATTATTGATATAAAATATGAATGAATTAGAAAAGAGATTGTCAAAGGAATTTATACATATCCTGCAAAACTATGAATTTTTAATGCTTCAATAATTACTCGATTTATTCGCAATTAAAATTGTCAAATAATTAATAAGTAATTTAATTATTTTTTAATTCAATTAATTTTTTATCAAAATTTCAAATATGTTATAAAAAATCCTTTCATACATTAACTATTTGATATTCGTAAACATTATTTCACAGAAGAAAAATGATTATTCGTATCTAATTTTTTGAAGAAATATAGATATAGATTCAAGATAACCAGATGCATAAAAAAATTCAGAGATTTGCAAAATTGCTTCTGGTTGTAAAAATGTCAAAATTCAATTTAACCGGACGGTTCTTCTCATCCAAAGTTTACATGTTTCGTAAATGCACTTTTCGTAATAACCTGCCACGGAACCGGAATAAGGGTGCTCTGGAGGATACTCTCGTTTTAGGGGTACTCACGATCACTGCGACGCGCATGGCCGTGTTGTCCCTCGTCGCAATGTTGTGGGTGCACTAGGTGTGGTGGCCGTGGCGCGTTTGTGCCTCACACTACCGCGAACGACTCCCCGTCTCCGCGTTCTTATACTTATATCCCCGTTGAAATTCCTATGGCAGCAGCACGCAGGCCAACTTTCCATCGGCCAGGATTGTGTTCCGCGCTCGACGTGCTCCACGTAGAGGAGGAACGCTCCTCTCTTTTTGCCCCATCGGCATCGAGATTGGCGTCGTGCCAAGCTGATCGGTCTCAGGGCTAATTTATTATACCGTCGATATGTGCGCTGCGAACTTGACCGTCGGATTTGTTTTAAAGCTTTCCTTGCACTGAGAAAAAAAAGCCGGTGAAAAGGTAACGAACGGATATTATACCGATCACTTTAATCGGAAAAAAAAGAAACCGATCAGATATCCAATCAGAAAATATCGATCTGATATCTGATCAGAAAGTTCAAAATTCGGAATTTTCCGATCAGATATCCGATTAAAGTGATCGGTATAATATCCGTTCGTTACCTTTTCATCGGACATTTCTTTCATTTTTCTCAGTGTGCGCTTTGATCGTTCACGGATCTGATCGAAGAGGATCAACGCGAGATCCTCGATTAATTCGCGAGCAGATCGCTGCAATGATTGCCCATCTTGTTGTAAATATCGCTCTTTTTTTCACGGTAAATTGAAAAGATTTATGAATTTCAGATGTTTTTATCAAAATAATATCATCGGATTATTTTGACAGCAAGTAGCATCTGCTTAGAAGAAATAGATATTTCTAAACGACAAGAGTTTCGAGGATCACAAACGAATGTAAAGATCGACAACGAGACTCGATCGAAATCTCACGATGACTCGTGCATATAATATCATCAATCTTGTCGCCGCTTATTGCTGTGTGTTTTAAGTTCGAATTATTGAGTTTTCTCTGCCATCAAAAGTCAAGATTGATGAGAGATCCTGCGACATGTTTAGAACCATGATGATCATTAATTGAGATGACGCGAGATTATTCGTCAAGAATAAGAATTCCTTGTCCATGTATGCGGAAGGTGATTTTATATTTTATTTATCTAAGCAACGATTAATTATAATTTTTGTCTCGTTTGGAAATTGCATAGAATATTATATTGCATCGAGATCTTATATGCACTTTTAAACGATAACGGATCATGAGTAAGCAATGGACCAGTAATAAAAGATAGTTGATTGGCTGTCTTGATGCTCATCACGTAAATGTCAGTTGGAACCTCTAATTATTGCATAATATTGTGTCCTGTCAATTTTACGTCACTCGCGAGAATCATTATTACAGTGTCGTTTTTGTAATAAACTAAGTTGGAGAGTTTCATTTGCATTAAATATTCATGACGCTTATAAAAGAGTCTGAAAAGAGATTGGAACACGATTAAATATTATAATATTCTGTATTCTATTTATATTTTAAGAATGTCATATTTTTCATAGTTTCTCTTTTTATTTATAATTAAGTTTATGCAGAATCTTTGTATTAATTTATTTCTGATACTAATCTTTTGTGTTATTATTATGGGATTAGAATAGAAATTATCGTTCACACAATAGAATTTATTCTCTTACTTAATGTCATATATAGCTTCATGTCATTATATAGAATTATAGAACAACGAGAAAGTTAAACGATGGAAAATTTTGAAAAAATGGATATAATAGGATTATATTATAGGATTATATTATAAATTGTGTATTACGATTATGTTATAGATTTCAATTCGAGAAATTAGTGTTTTATACATGATTTATATAAATTAATAATTAGTTTTATGTAAATAATTTCTTCATAAAGTTTTATATTATCACTAGGGAAGCGGTTCGGCGAAAGAGAAGTAGGACTTGCGTAGGACTTTTTGTGACTTTGTATTCTCTTCGATGGAAGTTGCTGGAAACTCGTCCTGCACTTCTGCTTCGCAGGAGTGTAGTTGGATTAGGATGCACCTGATGCCAAGGCGACATTCCACTTTTACATTTAGATATATTTTATATTTTTTCTGCTATTTCCTATTTTTAATTTTATGATATTTATAAGTTATTCTAAAGAGAAATAAAAATATTATATATAAAAAAATATGTATAAACAGCTCAGCAGCGAGAGTAAAAAAAAGATAAAGCTTAATAAACGCAGCATAATGTCTGATTCAGTATGATGCTTGTACATGAATTATGTATTATTTAATCGGATGATTAACAAAATTTTTATTATTTTATTCCGATAAAAATTTTAAAGATGCTCTTTTATTTTATATTACAAAAGAGAATCGTCGTCTCTACTTCGTGCCCTCAAATAACCTTCATTTTATAAATCGTAAATAATAATTAATTAAATAATAATTAATTATTTAAATAATAATCACAGCTAATTCACAATTAATAATTCAGATTTAATTCCAAATTTTAGGATTTGTGAACTCGTAATCATTAGATCTCGGAGAGTAATTTAATTAACGAGACAAGCTTACACACTCTCTTCGTCAACGTGCTCTTCTCTTTCATGCCTTTTACATTTTCTGGAGAAGTATTCCTTCGCAAGCGTAACAGCCAACATATTTAGCTACCTAGGTGGTAGCTTTTTCGGGAATACACCCCTGCGCACTCCTCCGCCCGACGATGAAAGGAGTGCTGCTTTTAAAGGCAGCTCGCGTCGCGTCGCTTGGAAGGCTCGCCCGTCCAAGGTCAGTGCCGTGGCCGACGAAGGAGCGGATCGGCTCCACATGTACCGATCCTCATCGACTGTGACGGTAATCCTGCCGGTGCAGGAATGCAATTCGACGACGATGGATGTGCGAGTTCGCGAGTGCTTCACGTATACGAGTGATAGTTACAGTACGCGTTCGATGAGAGCGGAGTTTTTATTTTATTTTATTTTTTTTTTTTGGTGAAAAACACTCGTGCCTCTCGTTGATGATGATTTTTTTTCTTTAACTGGCATTATATATGCGCTCCAAGTTTTGTAGCTTATTAAAGTTTATTTGTGCGTCGTCGCGCGATGCACAAAATATGCGAGTCGAGCCTTCATCAGGATTCTTCAAAATGTCAGGGCGGCGTACGTTGAAATTATACAGCTTGCGGACATTATCGAGGCTCAATGTAGATTAACATGAATGCTTCATGAATGTGTCATTTCTTTGTCTCATTGTCAGATCAATTTGTCTCTTTTTATTCGATCGAAAAATTCAAGACATGCGTCCTTAATGAAGCTCGCGGCTCCAATTTAGAGGATTTACATGAGAACGAAATAAGAATGTTACGATTCTTATTAATATAAAACTAAATTTCAGACAGAAGCTAAAGCTGTGAGTCCAAGATCATCGGATCCGACTGCATCCTTGCATCCGAGAGCGAAAGCGTCGTCTCGTATCCCCTTCGAGAGGAGAAGCAGAGAGTCAAGAATTCCGCAGAGGGTCCCCTTCGCTCTACTGCAGGCAGGTTGGTGGACGGATACAGGCGCAAGCAGGTAGGTAGGTAGGTAGATAGGTAGGTAGGTAGGTGGTGCACCGGAGCAGGCATTCTCTCTTGGGAAGAGACGACGACGACGAGCGAGCGAGCTCAGACGAATCGTCGAGGCTCGAAACCCCCGCGGAACCGGTTCTCCGCGTTCTTCTTCTTCTCCTCCTCCCCTTCCCTCCCGCCCCTGAGTCTCTTTTTTTTTCTCCACGCGTGTCGCGCGGTCGACGTCGCACAGGCGTCGACTGCTACCACCGCGAGCGATAGGCTACCGCCCGCGGGAATCGCGTTTTAAAAACGCACTCTTTTGTGCGTACGCATGTGTATACCTTTTATGATTAATTTGCCTGTGATTCCTGCCGGCGATGGGATGCAGAAGCGAATGGCGGAGAGGAGAGCTCGCTCTTTGCACTCGCGGATGGCGGCGAAGTGCCCTCCGCTCGCGGAGGGAATTCGCGGTCGCGGTCGAGGCCCCGCGAGTGCAGTAACGAGTCTCACCTGTTGCCGTCTCGTAACCGTTTTCCGTGCCGGTTCGGTTCTCTCCCGCCCTTGCCGCGATCTCGGAGTGACGTCGAATGCGAATGGCAACTTGCAGACATCGTGACCTGGGAGAGATCGTACACTGAGAAAAAAATCTGGTTGCATTAATTAGAATTCTGGTAGATTCAAGCAGTATGTCTGTTGGAAAATGGACGAAGCAGAATTCTTGTAGGAATTACCAGATGAATCTGATTAATTTCTTCCTGTTAAATTTACCAAATTTTCAGGTTAATAATATTAAACTCGCCGGCACCAAGTCGTCTAAAATTTTTTCCATCTAATCTCAAAAGTCTGTTTAATATTTTGAATTTCCAACAAGATTATTGGATAAATTCAATCCAGATTATTGAATAAATTATTTTAAATTCAGTTTGTTAGAAATTAAACTGATAAACAATGATGCAAGAAGAGGATGCAGTTTAAAAACACACAATCAGAGAGCTAGAGTCTTCTTTCTGGCACTACTGCTCGTAAGAAAGAAAAATATACTTTGAATTTAATGTTAATACTAGTTCTTTATATACATTTTATGGCAAATATTGAATACGAGTTAAGTTAAGAGGCAAGCAAAGAAATTAATGTAACAAGAAATTTTATAGATTCAACCAGAAAATACTAACCAAATCCTTATAGTAAAATCTATTAAACGTTCTAATTATAAAAAATCGAGTCTTATCATGATAACTAGAAATTCTTGTTTGACCAAAATGCCTTCAATCATATACGTCTTGTTGGTATAATCAAACGATTTTTCTTAGTGTAGAATTCGATGACGAATGAGTGAGATTTCTCGAGGATATCGAGTGTTTCTCGATTCTTGATATTCTGAAAAATAAATAAGCAGAAAGGAATTTATGATAAAATGTTAAAATAAATTGGAGGGAATTTATGATAAAATGCTAAATTTTTGCGCTTTTATAAAGTGCTAATTACGATGAAAGATTCTTATCTAGGTAATTTAATATCGGAAAGAATGAAAGGTAAAATCATCTCCTTTTATCGATTTTATTCACGAGCATGAGAAAGATCGAGTAATTTACTCTTTCCTTTCAACTCGCGATTTTGAATTATGATATTTTTAACGAATATATATGATTGCTTAATATTTTAAATGCTGATGCTATTATTGCTCTTAGCGTTTACC